TGCGTGGTTAGGGGCGAGCCTAGTCGTGGACGTGACAGATAAAGAGTTTTGGGAGAGAGTCGGAGATGATATGAGCAATTCTAAGAAAAATTAAATAATTATTATGTTAGGGAACTTTAATGAATGGGTCGGTTTAAAAAGTGATAGGTTTTAGGTACCTTCCACGACCTAAGTGTGAATAAAAAAGTAAGGATATTTCTGGACGTGTGTTTAGAGTGGACTTTGCGTGACGAATAATGTTTGATCGTATGAATATTCACATGTATACCTGGGAAAACGCGATGGATCCTGGAACCTGCGACTCTAAGGTCTGCATACCTGAGGTCGTAGGCTGTGCACCAATGGCCTTTTTTTCTATGTGCGCATTTAACACTTGCTCGAACGGTGAAGGAAAACATCGTGAGGAAATCGACATGTGTTAGACCCAAAAAGTCGACGGCGTGTGTCAGGCAGGCTGATCACCTACTTGCCTATTAGATTTAAAAATGATCATAAAACAGATTCAGAATTCTGAGGCCAAGAGGTTGTGGCGCCACTGATTTATTTATTTATTTACTAGCTGACCGGGCAAACGTCGTTTTGCCATATATATCATTTATAATAAAAAAATAGGGGTTGATCGTAGAGGGGTGAAAGTTGTATGTATTTTTTAATGTTGTAGCATAAAAAAATAAAAACAGAAAAAAATATCTAAAAATAAAAAAAAAATATTTAGGGGTGGACTACCCTTAACATTTAGGGGGATGAAAAATAGATGTTGTTTGATTCTCAGACATACACAATAAGCACACAAAATTTCATGAGAATCGGTCGAGCCGTTTCGGAGGAGTATGGCAACGAAAACTGTGACACGAGAATTTTATATATTAGATACCTGGGAAAACCCTATTTCGGGGTATATAGAGTAGAAATAATAAAAGTGAAACCACTGCAAGATAGCAATTTGAAAGAGGAATATGCATGCAACATAGAGCAAGCTTTAAATACTTACAGGTAAAAGTTAAAGGGTAACTGACGATGTAAAAGGGGTTGAAAAAGTACGGGCAACATTAAGAGATCGGCTGCCAAGTCATGTGGCAAATTAAAAAGATAAGTGGTAGAAGGAATGCATGAATGGATGACGTAGGCAAGAAAAACAAAACATGGTTAATCTGGGTGTGGGCGAGGGGTAGTAAAAAGCTGAATAAAGCATCGTGTCTGGGTGTGGAGGAAGCCAAAAGAAACAAAGAAACAAAAATGTCATAGAAGCCGGATGGAAATGATGATAAAGAAGAATTCCATAGGAGACTTTCTCGTGACCTCCGAACCAATATAAAGATTTTCTGTCTTCAAGAGTTCGAGAGCAAAGCCATCCAAAATTGTTAGAAATTTTGCCCAAGGCGGAAGCATTGTAGATAGTAATAGCATACTATATAAATAGATGGACGGAGCATTTTGAATGTATATTTGATAAGGACCCTGTCGCTTCAAACCACGTTTCAACGTATAACCATTGTAAGGGAGATAAAGGCGAGATAAGTGTGAATGAGGTTGTAAAAGTGTGTGAGGCAAAGTTCTGTTGAATCCCCATGACTGTTAAACTTATTCGTGGACAACTGTCTGAAAGATATAAAAGCGAGTAAACAGAGATTTAAAATGGGCCATGCCAAAATCGATCAAGTGCTACTTGCGTCTGCGTTCCGAGAAGAGACAAGTTAAAAGTAGGGTAGACTGGGTGCGGTTGAAACGGGGTACGGTTGAAACAGAGCAAATATCTCGACAACCGTGCGTGATGCGTTGATGGATACAAGAGGAGAAATAAGCAGCCGACAAGTCGGCACACAAATAGTGGTGTTGCGTCGCCTTTCGGGTGCTGTGAATGTGTATAGGAGACCTCATTGTGTTTTTTGTCTGAAAAGTATTTTTTGTTCGTTTCTTTTTGTAATTACTATGATTCTATAAAAGGTATCATATTGAGACTTTTGTGTTGTTTTCTTTAAAGTTTGTCTATTAATGCTGTATGATTAGATTTAATTCAAATTTATTATAGTGCTTGCTATTAACAATTTTATGTTAGGAACGCTGCTGAGGACGGTTGAAACATTTTTGTGGACGGTTGAAACAGTTTATGTATCTAATGATTTTGTTTCTTGATGATGGAGAACAAAAAAAATATGTTTTCGCCGGAAGCAGTACGACCTCTACCAAAAGCCCTTCCAAGGAAATTAACAATAGAGGGCGAAAAACTAGGAAATCTACAATCTAAGTAGTCTAATCTACATACAACTGAAAATATAAGGAAAGAACATGAAAATAGATTGAAACACACCAAAGCTAAACAAGTAAAGAAAAGATTATAATATGGAGGGGAGATTAAAACAAATGCTGGGAACAGGAAAAGAGAGTACACGCAAAAGCATCGTCGTCATCAAATGAGGAGTGCTACTGTCTTGTATGTATGTCACCATATTCGGAAAGCAGACCGAGGGAAAACTGGATGCAATGCACAGAATGTAAAATGTGGGCGCATGAAGAGTGTACAGAAGGTATTCTTAATTATGTTTGCCACAATTGTGATTCCGATTGATATTTTATTAATTAAAGGGTCTGTTTCACAATGTATGGATAAAGTACCAAATAGCTATGCAACACATAAATTATTTGGAAGATAAATTGTGCTATTTTACATTCATCGGACTCATAATAGACCAGTGCAGATAGCCTTTAAAATAAATAAAAAGTGAAAAAAATTACAGTAGGATGAAACCCATTAGAAAAGCATGGGAATATGATCAAAATGAGAGGAAAAATAAATTACGGTTGATCTGAGGTCGGGAAGGGGTAGGGGGGGAGGTTTAAGGGTAAAAAACGGTTTATCTCGATTTCCGGCAAAACTACAAGTCCTATCGAAGAAAGTTAAATGGCAAAGTTGGAGGTAATAAAAAGATCTAAAACTTTTGTATTCACACATTTTTCACATAACCTCAAAATTTATGTGAAAAATTCAAAAAGCATGTTTTTGGTTTTTTATTTTTATCTTTAACATTAATAATTTTTTTTAACGAAATTTGGTGAAAACTTACCTTTCTATGTCCCAAATACACTGTAATTTATTTGATTAAAAATATTTATTTGTTCACCTTATTTTGAATTAATATCGAAAAAACACCCTAATTTTCAATCGAAAATTCTGACGTCAAAATTTCAGCTTTTTTCAAAAAGTTGGTGTGCTTTCAGATTGTTGAAATCTCTACTTTCCGATGGTAAAAATATATATATATATTACCATAGTAAATCTTCTCAGAAAACGCAAAAAATCGTATGCAGTAACGCCCAGACCTGTCATCCCCTTCCTTACTTCTCTTACTTAGTTTTGCCGGAAATGGAGATAAACCGTTTTTTACCCTTAAAACTCCCCCCCCTACCCCTTCCCGACCTCAGATCGACCGTAATTTATTTTTCCTTTCATTTTGATCATATTCCCCTGCTTTTCTAATGGGTTTCATCCTACTATTATTTTTTTAGGTTTCAAAAATTATCGGCACTGGTCTATAACTTATGATGGACTTTATGTGACGAATAGCGCTATCTGACAGTTGTGAAACGCAACAATAGTGTTTATCCTACCAATAAGTAATATATAGCTAATTTGGAACTTATGTAGAACTTATCAGTACATTGTGAAACAGACCCTAAGTATTTTTATTAAACATCAATATAAAAATCTTGTTGTTATATAGAAATAATAAGTTTATTTTTATTTATTAAGTTATAGCTGAATTGCATTATTATTTTTGAATTACACGACCAATAAAAATTAAATTAATTTACTAAATTTTGTTTTATTTGCATGCGTTTGAATTGAGACCAGGCACTGTTTCAACCGACCCTGACGTGGGGACGGTTGAAACAAATTACATTTTTTTTAATCTAGCTTTACACATAAAATACAATATAATGATCTCAAATAACATTGCCATCTGTCATCGCTTGTACAAATAGTTCCGATGCAACAGACGACATAAGCAAAATTGTTTCAACCCAGTCTACCCTAACTATAAACGTCGAGCATGCATGGTGAATGCCATGAAAGTGGATGAAAGGAGAGAGGTATGAGAGAGTAAGTGGGGTTTCGTGGTCCCTGCCTTCGGGAAAAAGGCGTGAATAATTAAATTAAAGTCTAGTAGGTAAATATTGCATAGGATACTTAAGTACTGTTCTAACCTTTGGGTGGGAGCTACCCAATACCAACTCTTTCCGCTTGGCCTCCATATTCAACAAAGATTTGAATCGTCGAAACTTGACTGGTCAAGTTTCCGAGCGGCTTGATCCGTTAGCATTGCGTAGAGATGTAGAATCTCTCAGAATCTTCTACCTCATTGACCAAGGAGAATGTTTGGATTAATACATGTAGCTGAGTTTCATCATCGGTCGTCGAGACAGAATACGAAATTCCACTCGTATAGCTTCAACGTCCGTAGTTCCGTAACTGAGCGTTTTTAAGGCACTTTTTGCCGCACACCACCGCTTTTTGGAACCTGCTGCCCACTGAAGTATTTACGAATTAATTCGACTTAGAGCATAATTCCTTAAAGGCCAGCACGCACTCAACGCACTTGGGATAGTTATAAAAATAATCCGTTTTATTTCCCAAGGAATAAAGAATATTTAATCACATTTCCTATTATATATAGATAATACATCTAATGACTTTTTAATATGTTATACCTTTTTATATTTATTATATTTATATAGAAACGATTACGTGTTAATAAGCTTATATAATCACAACAAATATATGTAACAACCGAGAGAATAATATTTGAATGGAATTATACAATTGTATTTTGTGTAAAATTTTCATAGTTTATTTTTGTTTTCAATTATATTAATAAAATAATTATATGCGTGAATGACTTTCGCACTACGTGCATAAAAATAACCTCAAGACCAACTTATATATTTATTTGTAAGCGAATGAGGCGGTCCGTCAGTACGTAATTGAAGCGGATAGGTGCAACATGCGTTTGTACATATTGTGTTTCATAACCCTGCAATTTACAAATAATGTTTATACCGCGCGTATTTTGGGCCTGTTTCCACACCCGGGAAAAAGTCACCAGATGGTCTTCGACCCCCTATTGAGGAAACTTGCAGAACGCGGACATGAGGTCATTGTGGCAACGTTTTTTCCACTAGAAAATCCACCGAAAAATTACACAGAAATAAACCTACAAAGCCTCGCTGAATTAAGACTAGAGTCGTTTGGCGCTGAAACTTACGAATACCCGAGCACCCTTATGAGGATACCCGTTCTAGGAAGTGTTCTTGATCAATACAACCAACACGACGGTTTGAGCACGCTGGCAGTGACAATTTGCGAAAAACTAACGACATTTTTACCCTTGAATAAAGTTTTAAAGCAAGAGTATGATGTCGTAATCGTAGAGCGATTTGACAGTGCGTGTGTTCATGGTTTATTAAATGTTTATAATATAAAAGCACCTGTTATTGGGATATCGTCTTGTACGCTTATGCCGGGCGATGCTGCAATAATGGGCGCTGAAATCAATCCGTCGTTTATACCAGTGGTTACGTCTTCGTTTACTCATAAAATGTCATTTTTCGAACGATTGGAAAACTTCCTCGCCCTAATGTTGATTTCAGAAAGATATCGTTCTACACGGGTGAAGGAGAGGGCGGTAATTGAAGGCCATTTCGGCAAAAAAATTAACGATCTCGACGCGGAAGTTAGTAAAATGTCATTGTTGTTTGTTAACTCATTCTTTGTTGGTAACGGTGTTTACCCCCTTGTTCCTGGTATTGTCGAAGTAGGAGGCATTCATATCGACCCAAAGAATAAAAATATACCTAATGTAAGTACTTAAATAAAAATTATTTCTTTTGATTTTTAATATAATTAGCAGCTATAGACCAACTTCGTGTTCAAATGGAAACAAAATCTATATTATCGTACATTCCTTGGCAGCATAATTGTTTTTAATACTAGTTAAAAATGAGTTGATCTGCGTACATTTAGAATAAAATTTGATGTTCCTTTACATCTTCTGGCAAGAATCCATCTATTCTTAAAAACCTGGTAGGTAATACATACAAAGTATGAAGTCCATTAAAATATCACTTCCTTTAAATATGTACCCATATTGGGTTACACTGTAATTATAGGCATATTCAAGTTAGATTTTATACGGGAATATATCGAAAAAGGATTTTACAAGTAATTTTATTATTGCTATCTATTTTTAGCATGTCGAAAAATTTGTTGCTGCTTCAGAACATGGTGTTATATTGTTCAGTTTAGGATCGCAATTAAGTTCCACATCAATTTCTAAAGAGAAACAGGATATTTTTATAAGAGCGTTTTCTAAACTTAAAGAACGAGTTATATGGAAGTATGCAGACAGTGCAGAAGAGGGAACGTTGATAGCACATAACATTTTGCGAGTGAAGTGGTTGCCACAAAATGAATTATTAAGTAAGCATTTTTTATATTTTTTCTTGTATCATTAAAATTATATCATTATTGGAAAATAATTTACGATACAATTAAAATGTTTAATATTATGTAGAACAGGCGAAATGGATAACAGGAAGAAAATTAACGCCTGAAATATTTTTATAGCAATTTTATCAATTTCTAGAAGAAATAGTAGAATCACAGCAATTAGACCCCAAAAGTTACAAACATTGGTATATGATTTCATAACTTCTTCATTTGTTTCACAGATCATATTTTACCACACAATTGAGTGATTAGACCAGATGCTTTAATTCTGTTATTCTTTTCGAGAATCGAATGCACTCTCACCTATAAACGCCTTGAATATGCGTCAGTTACTAATATCTTATACCGATTAACGAATGTGATTTTTTTAGAACACCCTAAAATAAAAGCTTTTATCGGCCACGGTGGTATGCTAGGATCACTGGAAGCACTATCAGCTGGCAAGCCTATGATAATAATACCAGTATTTGCCGACCAAAAGCTAAACGCAGCAGCTCTGAAAGATAGAAGGACAGCCGAAATTTTATCTCTAGCAAATTTAAAGGAGGAAGACTTAGACAAAGCCTTGAAAAATATTTTGAGTACGAGGTCAGTAGAGGTTTAAATTTTTACATTCTAAATTATCAATGCTATTTGCTTCAAACCTGCCCTGACTATCGCTATAATAGTGGAGCGTAATTGCGGCATATCAAAAAAATAACATTTATTTCTAACAACTGTCTACTGAACACCTATTTTTGTAGCAGACACGATTGACTTAACATAAAATTTTGTATACCTAAGTACTTTTACCTAATACTCTGTCTATCGCCACAATAAAACGACATAAGTGGAGATGAGCATATGGTTGTCGACCAATCACAGTCAAAAGGTCTCACACAGGTACCCCCGACACGCATATCGTCGTGGAAGGACGATATTAAAGTAACTGCCGACCAAAAGTCAGTGGAAACTGAATTGATTATACATTTTCTTTAATAAACAGACATTCTCGAATAACAGTTTTATTATATGTATAGACAAGTAACTATTAACTAGTCTTATCTGATATTATAGATTTAAAAAGCTTGACCTAGATTAAGTTCTATTTTATATATTCGAGTTATTCAGGGTCAATTAGTTTTAAAGTTCAGAGAGGTTGGACTGGGTTTTTGTTTCCTTCCGTGGTTTATTTTTAGATATTCGGACCATAATAAGCAGTAAATGAGAAACTTCCCGTGGTATTCGTACCAACAATACCTTAAATTATTTCCTGCATCTATATCGCAACGATGATACTTTCATAAATTTGTAATAAAATATATCGTAGCCTTTAAACATGTTTGGTCTCTATAGATATTATATTCGCGTGCATAGTAGCAATGCTTCTAAAAATTATCCAAAGTAGTTTTATAAAATTCACGAAGATTATGAAGAGATTCCGTGTTTAGTTGTATTGTGTAATCAACTTACCTGCTTACAAATCGAAATATAGAAGGAACGGCAGAGATTGAGAAGCTAGTTCTTTATCTTTCTACCTATTAGCAGTATGCAGTAAAAGTATTTATAATGTTTATTTTTTATTTTAGTATGCGAGAGAGAGCTCGTCTTGTATCTTCAATGTGGCACGATAGAGAGAGACCCCCATTAGACACAGCTGTGTACTGGACCGAGAGGGTAATAAGATGGGGTAACCAGTCACCACTTTATTCACAAGCGAAATATCTCCCATTCTACCAGTACACGCTCCTAGATGTCGCTGCCTTTGTAATAATGCTTGTTATAACTCTCATTGTTACATCTTTCTATATTTTTAAATATTTATTTATCATTGTAAAACGTAAAGCAAAGGAGAAAATATATTAACACAGATGTAAGTATTTTAGAAATATAAATTGTCTTTCGTTTACTGAACCAACTAATATTATCAAAGATAATAAATAATTTACCATAACGAGAACCACAAATTGTAGTTGTATCCCATAAATTCTTATTATGGCCTGTCTTAACCATTTTAAAACTAATCAAATTACCATATGTATGTGTTTCGTAATGCCAAGAATTAATATAATTCATATCCTTTTTGCCGAAATTAACCTTGTCACACATTTTAATATGTGCAAAGTGTTTATACAGGCCTAGGTAATTTGCGAATCAAACGAAAATGTATGTTTTGTTTAAGGTCTGGTTAGTGAATAAAAACCGCCTTTAGCAACAGTTTTAATTATTTATTAGATGCTATATAGCTACAAGCACAAAACAAATTTTATAATGACTTCGCAACAGCCTGCTTATGTTTGAAAAACAATCATTTTCTAAAATTTCGTGCTATTTATAATAATAAATACAATAATATTCATAAGTTTCGTTTTAGCCACAAACAATGCTATTTTATGTGTAGTTTAATTGTATAAATTTTGTTCAAAAACCTCACCTAATAATGTAATAAGAAAAATTAATAATTTCGCTCAATTTAATGTATATCATTATTTAAAATGCAAGAGCAAGCACAAAATTAAAATAAGATGACTATGTGTATGTAAAGTACTGCCCTTTTGACAGGAGACATGTCTGATTTCTAATGCACTGTCGATGCAGCAATCTAAAGGGAGCAAAGTTAGATTATGATTGTGCAACTATTTCAGCTTCAAGCTTCTTAATTTTAATTGGTAATATCTTAACCATCTCTTGGCATAAACTGTATTCTGTAGACATCATTTTTGCAGAGTTTTTATCTTTTGAACAAATATCCACAACCGCTTGGTACGATTCGTAGCTCTTTTTCACATGACTTAGTTGAGTATGTTTGTCTAAGGCAATGCGTTTCATACTATTTCTTCCAATAAATGCAAATGCACAAACAACTGGTCTAACAAATTCCTCTTCCATTCTCAAAGGTAAAATTCCATTCTTATCTTTAAAAGATTCAATAAATCTTTCATAGTTTTCAATGCTTTTCTCACAAAGCATATTGATTTTTTTCAAAAGGTGAGGTGTCGGTTTACCCTCACTTTTTTTTACTGAATCAAGTTTGATGTCCAAAATTTCTGAATATATTACACCAAGTTCATGCCACAGCTGTTGACAATAATGTAGATAATATGTAGGATTTATTTCTTTCAGCAAATCTTCTATGATATCTATTCTTCGCTTCTGCATTTTAGCCCTTCTTCCGTCATCCTCTTCAAAAAATGCTAGGAACGAATATGCTTCAGAGTTATCTTGAACCAATTGGATATAATCGGATGCTAGAGTATCAGGTCTGTAATACTCTTTTGCCTTATTTAGCCATGTCTGACAATTGAGAAAGACTTCTCTGGCATCTTGGTAAGTGAGAAGAAACTTATGCCCAATTTCGTTTTCATGTTTTGATACATCCAGATCAGGAAAAATTAGGTTCTTTACATCTCCACCACAAATGTTTTCACTGTCCTCTAATTGAAGATTCGATAAATCTGCAAGATCAATATAAATAAATTGTAAGAGATTGGTTTAACTTTTTAAGTTGCTCGTGTACATGGTCAATCAAACAAAACATGTCATAAATTCTAGGGTGAATATTTAAGACATATATTTACTGTGTAATTGGTCTTTTAAGTGTGCTTAGCTAATTTCCATCCCCAGTTACCCCATCTGTCAAGTGGATAGTTTGGGAAATATTTTGTAGTTTTTTAAAATAAAAGTTAAAAAGGTTTTCATTTAAAAAAAAGGATTTTAAAAGAAACAACCCAACAAAAGCGAAGGATTTTCTTTTACCTGTAATTGCCTCATCTAAATTGTCAGGGTCACTCATTAGTCTATTTTTAGAGGCAGACATCAATATAATACAATATTTTGCCCAACATCTTGCCACATCAGCCGATCTGTGATTAAACTGTTCTTTTTTAGCCATCAATACCTCATCATTGGTTTCATCTGCAAGTAGCCTAGCCTCATACTGGTCCAATATAGTTGATGCAGCAGCAAGATGATGTCGTGATTGAAAAAAACAATTTTTCTCAGCAAAAAACTGAGATAAAGTAGCAGAGTTTAAGGACCAATCTATTGGATCATAATCATTATATTGCAACTGCCTACGTAATGTTACATGGCAGTAAATAGCAGATTTTAAATTCTCATTTAAAGAGCCATAAACTTGAGCTAAGTAATAAAGAGTGAGAGTATAAGGTTTTTCCAGTAACATAATATCACCTGTTATGCTGTCACTAACATGTATTATATGTTCTATAGATATAGGCATTTGCATTGTACATTTAAAAGATTCATAAAGGTCTTTTGCTTTAAGTAGAAAGGATTTGCCTTTTTCTGGCTCATCCCGATTTGACCACAATAAGCCAAGGTGATTTTCAATGTTAATTAAAGTGGATACTACTTCTGGCTTTGATGAATGTGGTAGGAGAAGAGCTTCTGCTTCGGTCAATACTTTTTCACTTGCTGGGGCGTCATCAGTTTCCATGTCGATAATGCCTATGTTAAGAAGCACAACACCAAGCATAGCGTCAATTTTTACACTATCCAAATTTCTTTCAGAGCCTTTTGTGATCATAAGAGCTTCTCGCATTTTATTTAAGATGTCTTTTGCTTTATAATTTGACAAATATGGTTCATTAACTGGATCATGAGGTGCATCATCGTCAAGTAACTTCCTCACTTTAGCATAGGTCTCTTTAAAATCGTTGATTATTTCTTTCGCAGTCATGTCTGTTGTTACGATCATATTTTTATTGATCTGATGGGGAGTTAGTTTTTAAATAAAATAAGCAGACAGAAATTCACTACTTCAAAATAAATTTTAACTGCTATTACCGTGTTGTACTTGTGACTCCAAAAGTTTAATTAAAATACAAGTGAATTCATATTTAAAACATGAACAGATGATAACGATTATTAAATCTGCAACGTTAAGTTTAAACACACTGTCTAATAATATTCATCTATCTTTTGTGTTGAAAAGTGAAAACCTTTAATACAAAAAAATCACTTGATTGTTTACACTGGACAGTGACAACTGACATTGGACAATGGTGAGAAGTCTGAGAAGTGAGAACTTCTAAACAGAGTCAATCATGTAATTATTGTAGCCGATATTTTTCTTCGCTGGAAATTTGTTTTAGGGGCGAATTATTCTTTTATTAATTATTCAAATTACATTTAGATCATACTTACTAAAAAAACAATGAAAAACTAACACAAGAAAATCACACACACGTCACACAATCCCAGTAGTAGGTAACACATCTTCTATACCATCGAAGATAGAAATTACTTCTACCAAGCAAGTTTACAACTAACGTTTAATTCTGTTTTTAACAGATTTAAACACGTCACGATTTGGATACAAGGTCTTTAACGTTTATATTTTAATATAAATTTATTAATAGTATGGGCAGGTATAGGTCTACCAGGATCTGATGGCAAAAAGGGAAAAAAGAAATTGACGCTAGCAATACTGGGGAAATTGGAGTAAAACGTTTTGATACTTTTTTTTTCCTTATAGCGGCTGATTCTGTGTGTGATATATGCAAAATATATAAAAATTTATCCAATGATAATTTTTGAAAATGTGGCGAATGTGGGGTTTGAAATTTAGATGAAAACTCCAATTACTCTGTTCATGAGTTTATTAATTAATTAAGAACTTTAAAATGGTTCCAAATACTGCACATCCATAAAAAAGTCTTCAACGCAGTATTTATAATAAACCTTTCCTCCTGCATCTCAATTAACCGATCTTGTTCTATGAACTTATTTTAAATTTTTATTACATGTTCACAAGATTTTCGCTATTCATCGATCCCTATTTGAGAGAAAGAAACAATGTAAAACTCATTTATCTTGTTTCTGATCAATTCTAAATCAAAACTATCCAAGTTTATTTGTGGTATAAGAAACCCCTGAAATAAACCAAAATTTAGTATAAGTACATAATATAATACACACGAAGAATCCCATAAACCAAAGTATCAAGACGTGTCATTCCTACTAACCAGTCAACGCTTGCACATGGCTCAATATCGATGATTGTGTATGTTCTGCATCTTGTTGATCAAGTATTCTTTGATAAACATTGAAAACAATATGTCTTGCTTGCGATCGAAGAGGTTTCTTCGACATTTTCATCACTTTTTAAAGGAAATTTGAAGCCAAACCAAAAACAATTCCTCGAAATTTCAGTTGACAGATGAAATTTTTCTTTTATTGCCATATGAAAATCGCTAATTTAAAAAAAAAAAATTGCCATCAGATTCTGGTAGACCTATAATTGGGTTTATCTAAAAAAACGGGTACGATTTTTCAATTCATTTGATGTATCGTGTATGAGAATCTAGATTGGATGATAAATGATATAAAATTAAACAACGCCAGAATTAGTCTCAATAAATGACAATTCAAATAAAATTTACTTTGAAGGATTTTAATGCAACAATAAAGCAGTAAATTTTATTAAATATAATGGGGTTTAAAATTAATGTTTTACAAGAAATCCCTGTATATAGCTTCTTACGCAGCGTAATGGCATATAAATAGGCATGCTATAAATCCTACTGAATAAAAAAATTCACAACTTGGCCTTACAAATAAGAACTAATGCATGGGACAGTAAAATTCAAATCAGGCTTATTTTATTATATAAACTTTGCAGCTCATAAAATAAAGTGTATTATGTAACAATTTAATTATGAATCTTATATGAATAAACCCTTGGTTAGTCTGGGAACACAATATGACTTGTTTATGAATATTATGCCTTTTGCAAAAGGCATAATATTCGTATGTATGTGTTATTATGTGTTATTTTTTTTGTAATTAAAAATTAAAAAAAAGCCTTACAAATAATATTATATATATAATATACTGTTGCAATTGATTGCCTTAGCAGATAGATAATGATTTTTGCTTTATAAGCCTATCCTGAGTGAGCTTGTTGTATTTTATGTTTTTAGTATAGTATTAATATAACTATGTAAATACTATAGAAGTGTTTTGACATTTCTGGTAACAAATGTGGCAGTCAATTGCAGTTTATTTTAGAAATTTAATTTACAGTTTACTATGTAATTTAACCATGTTATTATTAGTAGACCTAATATTATAATTAAGATTTTCCTCAACTAGATTGGTTTTAAAACATATTTGTACAAATTTAAGGCAGGTTATATCTATATTTTCATAATACATATTTCTAGTTAACAATAAATGATTGATAGTAGGTGAGGAAATATTACTAATTAGCAAAATGTACAATTAGTGCTTTCTGACATATTAATCTTAAGTCAGTCAATACTTTTACATCTCCTGTAAAAAATAAGGATAAAAGTAACCAATTCTAGGGTATATATTTATTGAAATGTAATGAAATTGATTTAGTGGTAGGGGCTTGGAAGCATAATAATTGAACCCATTTGTTTTAGCTAACTATACAGTGGAGGTAAAGTACAATGGAACAGAATAGTGATTATTTATTTTTAAAAAATAATGTTCATTAAGTACCAGTAGTTGTAAAGCACATTATATAAATTTATGTTTATGTAAACAAACATTGAGGTAAAATAACTGCTACGGTTAGACAAAGATTCTGTAAATCCAAAATTTATAAATTGCTTATTGAACTTTGTTCACTCTTCAACCATCTTATCTATATTTAGAATACATCAAAGGATTATTTTACTGATATTACATTTTCCAGGGTACCAAAATCTTATATGCTTTAATAATCAACAAATAGTATAGACCTAAAAGCAATATCAATAAAATAATTTAAAAAAAAACTACCTTAATTCAAGATTAATTTAACCCTAGAAACATTTGATTTTACTTATACAATTAATACCTAAATGTATGTACATTCTTTTGTAGAAGGCATCAGCATTTTACAAAAAAATGACAACCAATTGTGTATTAGGAAATATTTTCCATTTCTGGTTCCTCTGTTGATAAGGTTCGGGGAGGTGATGTATGCGCTAATTGAGAGAACACTTCTTTTTCTCCCAGTGCTAACGGATCCGGTTGTGTAGCAGGAGAAGGCACATATACCATCATAGAGGGTGACACGGGACGAACCACACTTCCTGTTGCTTCTTGTTCTTCCAAAAACCTATCCATATAATCTGTGTGACCTGGATGCAAATTGTATTTTTTCTTTTCCAATCGAGTTTTATTTGCAAAGATGTCATGTCTTTCTGTCTTCTTCCAGATATAATAAAATTGTACTAGTTCTCCTACGGATCTTGTCTTTACCTTTTGCTGTCTTATTGAATGAAAATCCTTACCATGTATTTTAATACCACTTTCAAAGTTTCGACATTCTTCTTCTGACCAAACATTTGCATGAGCTGGAGTCTGAGAGGATATGCGTCGCCTCCTTAAAGCTTCATCTACATTGTGCCCACACTGTTGGAGAAGAAATAAAGCTTCTTCATCATCACGTAACTGCTTACCAAGAGGTACAGCATCAATACCAGTAGTTGAATTCAATGAACATATTTTTTTAATGTAGTCTTCAATAACTTTTTCATCTAATATATTAGGGTTCCATAATAATTTATCCTCATTTTCATATGGTAAAGCATCATCATAGCTACATAATCCTTCTGGTATACCAGCTTGGTAGTCACTACCAACCATTATAGTTTTTTTCCAATCATCTTCATCTGGACTGTAATCATAATCATCTTCCTCTTCAGATGGGGGCCTAGAACCAGATCGCAAACAACGAGTTGCTTCTGGATTATTTGTTTCAGTATAAAGCTGCTGTAAAGCAGACTCAGATTTTTCAGTCTCTTCTGGAACTGCTTCTGGTGGTTGTTCTGGAACAGGTTTGTCCATGTTTCTATTGTATCCGTACAGTGCTAGTAATTCTTCAAGGGGCATATCCCCTTCTTTTTGCAAATTGTTAAGTTCCGCTTTAGGGTCCTGGTGCTCACCAGCAGCCAAGGCCTCTTCTTCGTCTAAGGTCCTTTCGTCATCAAAATCATTTACCATCATCTCAACAGTAGGCTCAAAGAGAGATTTATCGTTCCCCACATCCATACTGGCATCGTGCTCGTTTACACTGGTCACCAGCGCGCAATCTGACATGACTAATACCACGGACTATGGGAAGTAGTTCTCCGAAAACATGACAATTTCCGATGTCACTTACTGTGTCATTTTATATTGTTGTATAATAAATTCTTTGTGTTATAATTTTTATATGTTATGCATGTTTTTAAAGAAAATTTAATAAATAAAAACAAAAATATTTGGACACCAATGACCAAACGCAGCACACTCTTCAAGGTTGCCATTAAATCTGACGATTGACAACTGACGTTGTCAAATGTCGTCCGTCAGTTATTTACTTATTACCCTTTAATCTTAGAGAATAAAATAATATAGAAACTGCGCTTTTATCAGTTGTAAATTTAAATAACAAGAACCGCACTAAATTAACGAACACTAGTTAACATTTCCACCATCCGCTTCACATAGAAAATATTACATTAAACTAAAGACGTATAAAAAAATGGAGCGTGTACTTATGTATGCGCGTAAGAAGTTATACTTCTTTGGTATTCTTTATTTTTTTAAATATTAAAGAATTAATAATAAATATTTAGCGCTAATAATTTAACAATATTTAATATTTGGTATATTATTCAATTATTAATTAATATTAATAATTATTATTATTTGATTATATTATTAATTCAATTTAATAACTAAGTATGTTTCATAACCTTTTAACTAAGTAACAATAGGTCTTTGTGAAAAAGCATTGCTAAAATTCTTGGCATAGCTGCTAACGTCACGCATATTATATTTCTTTTTACTTGTAAATTGTCTTATTGCCATCTCGCTCGCGCACGCTCGGCGCCCATACTGATAATTTTGTGTCACGCGCATCGTAAAATTTCACTCTCATAAATTTTTCATAACGCGCCTAAAGAAGTATAACTTCAAAAATAATAATTGATTGTATAGGCAAAATTTTTAATTTAAGATAAATTTACACCACCAATAGCGTGTATTTTTTCTAGATCTCCCTTACTCTCCCTCTCAATCTTTCACACTATAGCTCCTACTCTCGCTCCATGGCTATTTGATTCATGGTATTGGCATCACGAAATATCACCGCTTCCGCCAACGCTTTAAAGCATTATCGCTTTCAACGTGACACCGTTTAAACCAGTGCTGCGACTTGCCACCAATCGGCACCGCAGAAAATGGAATAAAGAGTTTCATGCCCTGTAGAACGACTTCGGTGACAGAGTCAGCAACGAAATCTGGGGCATCCGACGAAAAGCAAAAAAGCCTCCAAGGGTAGGACGCAAAGGAAGACCGCATCCCGTCTCAATCTTCTTAACTATAGTGCGAAATACGGTGATAGCTTGGAAAGGAGGGAGGACCTCTGGATGTGAGGTCAACAGAAGGTCCAACAAAGATAATTTGGAACCATCCACATGTGGTATTCGCGTAATTGCGGGAATTATTTGTGTCATGTCCTATGGCAAGACAAACTCATAAAAAACCCACGTGATCGGTTGTATCAGAGCCGACCTGTCGACATGGTGTGCGTTAAAGTAGCCGAGTATTACGATTTCGGCGGACGGGATCTTGTACTTGGGACGGACCCGAGCGGAGAATCTGTAGCCATTTGGATCTGCTCAATGAGCCATTTAGTTTCGGCATTTCATAGAATCGTGGACGGCCATCGCAGTCATCAGGGATGATCTCCGGGCTTAAAATCTTCGTTACCAGGCGAAAAAAATTAGATCACTCCAGATTCTAGAATAATAACTGTCAATTATCACAAACAGATTTTTAGACATTGGCAACTTTTAAATGGAAGTCATAAACAATCTTCCAAGTCTGTGGAGTCAGCTATTACTGATTACTGAATACTGTATCACGTCAATCGGCAATCGGCATTGTATTTTATTAGAAAATGTACAGGCTTATTATCAATTTTTATTTTTAGTTTCATTCTTTAAATATATTTTCTATTTAAACTAATTAGAAATATGTACCGAAAATATTTGATTAGTAAGAAATAACTTAGATACTTAAAGGTGACAATGAATATTTTATTTAGAACTGTATTTATACTAGTCGTCGCAGCCTTTAGATTAGTGTTAAGTTTTTCTGATGTTGGGAAATGGGACCTCCAACTTGATGGGGTGAGTAGATTCTGTTTTGAGATTTTTTATTTCAGTTTGTCCTTGTTCCATAAACGTGATAAAATTATCGATTTTCAACGCTCACTATGCTGGCTACTTACAAAATGTTAAAATGAGTCATTTTTAGTTCTAGTTTATATCTGTTACTATCGGTAAACTTTTAATATTAGATAAGATTTTTAATTTTGGTTGAATTTGTTACTAGGACTGTTTTAAAAATAATCTTAACTAATTGATTTCAGGAAACCTGCAATTTTACACTAGCCAAATCCTTGTTTAAGGATTCCAAATTGATAATAGTATGTAAGTAATACAAGCAGATTTTTTTTGAAGTTGTGGTTATAAATTGCTGGTATCATACCCTACAAAATTCTTTTTATAATAATTTATTGAGGCTGATGAGTCATTTGCAGTTGTTTTAAATAGTTGTATATTAACTAAAGTTGTATATGTAATAAAGAATATTATTTATTTCCAGTACACAAATATTCAGTATTTACAATATTTTTATTTTAGTGCATTGTGAGATACCAGTGAATTTAACAGTGGCATATGCATGGAGGCAGACACCATGTTCACCAGATTATTTCCACTTTTTTGAAAAGGTATAGTTATTCTGAATAATTAAATTAAGGTATTTTATAACCTTTAAACAAGTTATATCTTTTTATTTATAAAATAAAGTTTAAATATATTTTATAATTATTTTTGATGAATATATTATATTACCTTGATATTAGGGTGTGCTTTCCCTAATCTAACTAACCACTAACAAGGTCTAATTCTATTACGTAATTTAATATAAAATTGCTGATTAAAAAGCAATCAGCTTATATTTGATTAATTATTTCAGAGAATTGTAGATTGTTCGAATACTGTTGAAAGGCCACTTTTTCAAAGCAACCACAGTACTGTCCAAATGATAAATGTAGTACAAACTGTAACATGCGATGGTAAAAATCCTATATTTTTCTATAATGAAAAAGACAAAGCATCAGAAACATTGAATACAAAGTCTGTAAGTATATTTATCAACATTAAAAACAAATACTTGCTATACATAAGAGAATTTACCGTAATTTAATTAGAAGTTTTATTCTGAACAGAAAATTTAGATCTGTGTAAAAAAGTATAATTAATAAATGTCAAGGATAGATTTGGATGTAGTAAAACAATTGAATTTGCAGTTAACACCATCCCTACTAACGGTGGAGCGGGAGGGCATATATGCTTTAACTCTGTCTGTGAGAAGCAACACCAATTTCAAAGCATCCATACATATTGAAATGGTGGCTCCCTCTGGCTATCTGTCGGCAGCTATCTGGCCACTTTTACCAGTGAGTAAATTCATACTTACATTTTCACTTGAAGTTTTGTGTGTTGTTGTTGTTTTGTTTTACGATAGATATTTTCAGTTTTTCGGCGTAATGTGTGGCGTATACGCACTTCTATGCGCCGGGTGGCTGGCCGTTTGCGGGCTTCAGTGGAGAGATCTCTTGCGCATCCAATACTGGATCGGCGGAGTTGCGATACTCGGGATGGTCGAGAGCGCCACTTACTACGGAGTCTACTCGTCCATCAATAGCACCGGGTCTGTCATTTCGATGAGTGAAATCATTCCTCACGGAAGTGGAATTTTTACAAATTGTAGAGGTTTTATATGGTTTCAGACAGTTCAGCCCCAACGCGTACATGTTCGCGGAGTGGGTGTCGGTGGCGAAGCGGGCGTTGGCTCGGATGCTCGTCATTATCGTGTCTCTGGGCTTCGGCATCGTGAAGCCGCGGCTGGGGCCCGCCCTGCAGCGCGTGGTGGGGGCGGGGGCGTTGTGGGCACTGTTAGGCGCCATCGAGGCCTGGCTGCGGTTGCACCACAAGGCCGAAGACTCCAACCGCGACCTGCTGCTGTCCGAGGCGCCTCTCTCGCTTTTGGACAGCGCCATCTGTTGGTGGGTCTTCGTCTCTCTGGCGCACACCATGCGCACGCTGCAGCTGAGGAGGTGTGTCAATCGTTAATGAGAGGTCTCAGCGCTTCCGTAATTGTTGACAATTTATCTTTTTTTTTCAGAAACAATATAAAGCTCTCCCTGTATCGTCACTTCACCAACACCCTGATATTCGCAGTCATCGCGTCGGTAATATTCATGCTGTACTCGCTCAAGTCGTATCGCATTCAGTTTTGTATCACCGTAAGTTTCCTTAGAATTTTAACTTTAGGGCTCACTAGAAATTTTATTTACTAACACAAACCAAATCTTTAAGTATGTCACATACGTTATAATATTAATGTAATATTATATGAACTTAACTCTATAAAATAATTAATTTATTGCCCAATTATAAAAGTATAGTTTCAGGATTTTACTTTTAAAATATCTAATAAATTGCAAATATTTCAGGAGTGGAAGGAAGTATGGATGGACGAGGCCTATTGGCACATATTATTTGCAGGTGTACTCACCGTTATTATGGTTCTGTGGAGACCGACAAATAATAATCAGAGATATGCCTTCACGCCTTTACTCGACAATGCCGAGGATGATGAGGGTAGGTCGAGACTTGCAACTACCCACATTCGTGTAACGCGAAATTAAGTTTTGGTTCCACTCATTATAAATATTTTAATTTAAATATTTAGCTTAGCCCTTAAAAATTATAGCGTTAGAGAAATTCATGAAAGGAAAAATTATTAGTTCCCCAATTTATCTTTTAAAAAAGTAAGTAGCTAGTTTATTACGATAAAATCTGGCTTTAAATTGTTTTTTTTTTACATAATAGAAGAAGAAGAACAGTTCGTAAATGACGCATATGGTGTAAAAATGCGTGGGACGAGTATTAGTGAGCCTGACAACCGGGATCCTGAACCAAATACAATTTCGCTTGACTCAGACCTGAGATGGGTTGAAGAAAACATTCCAACAAGTACTCTGCCCTTACTGGATTCGGATGAGGAAATTATTAACACTAAGTTTGAAGTGTCAAAGATGCAATAAGTATTAAACGAATGCCAATTCATCTGTTTTTATTTTTCATGTAGAAAATATTTTATGCCCATTCCCTGCAAAAGGTTGTAAGTGAACTAATAAAACGTTTCTTTTTCTTGACTTTTATTCCTTAAATATGGTAATAATCTTTGGCTTAATATGTATGTATTTCAATAAACTACAAAATTACCAATAAATAATAAAACCAATAACGGTACTGAATAAATAGGTAATTAAACAGTAGTTGATTAATAATTAAAATCAATATAATAAATCACTGAAATTTTGTCATTTAAAAAATAATCATTGAACTTATTATAACTGGTCAGCATTAAATAAATGCACATAATATAGTTGTGCTCACAGATTGATATTTACATTGAATATTACTGTTTTAATTATTTTCATAGTAAAAATCATAATCTTCAGGTTCTGGTGGTATTTGTGGTGGGTTTTGGGGAATGTCTATGCCTTCAGCGTCAAGTAGACGAACTTTGATATCCATAGATAGTAAAGTCTCAAGATCATTATCAAAAGACTTGCTTGTCATCTTTTCTTTTAGTAACGCATTAATTCCATCAGTCCAGTAATCAAATATTTGCTCATCGGGTGCTACAAAGTCTAACGAGGGGACCTCTGCAGCTTTTAATATTAAAGAGAATGCCAAATGAGGGCTACTGATTTTACCTTTCAAATCCTTCATATGAGGACATTCTTTGCCGACAACAACACACTTTACATCTGCAACAGCTAGCTTAGTACTCAATTCTTCTAAACTGGGTGTACTTTTTTCATCACACTCACCATAGTGAAGTATTTTGTGGTTTGGTGACAAACGAACAAACCAGAACTTGTCTTTTCTATTAATTTTTAGGTATTTTTTAAATCTTGTGCCTCCAACTAACACACCCAATCTTTGTTGCTGAATTAAGTCTATAATTTCAGGGGTAATTTTTTCTTTCAACTCCACAATGGGTTTGGCATGAGACTCCCATACCTCTCTGTTTGTGCGTTCTTGCTGCCATAGGTGTGTGATTTCATTATATGTTAATTCTTTCACCCTTTGCCTAAACTTATCAAAACTTTTTGGAGCTGCAGCTAAAGCTCTAGTTATCTGTTCACGAACAACACTCAATACTTTAACAAAGTCCTCTGTGGTAGCTCTCATTTCTTTCCATGTTTTGTTCAAAAGAACTATGCAAATACAAAATAATTCTTCAAAAGGATGGTCATGTGTAAAAAATAGAGGATGATAAGTTTGTCCTTGCTCACTTGGAGCTTCACCAATAAGCAATATTTCACACAATAGTTTAACCAATTCAACACTTGTCTTTCCAAAAGGACATTCAAGCTCGTCAGGACGACAACTGTTCCTCAATACTATTTTGGTATAATCTTCTCTGTAATTTCGTGCAAAATAAAGCATACAGTCCAGAGATAAAACTCCTGGTGGGGTTTCATTGAAATCTTTTATTGGATCTATTTCACATTTAAAACCTAACTTCTTGAAATCCTTTGATAAACTACCCGTCTGGCGTCTAGTTGTTACTTCAATGTTTGTGTTAGCATCATTTTCAAAAGCATATTTTCTTAGTTCTTTAATTTTTTCTTGTGACTCTTGTTCCTGTGAGTCAGCCCTTTGACACATTCTTGGTTCCAATAATCCCAAAGTTAAAGTCTGCAAGACATACAGTTGATGAGCCAGCTCAGTTACAGAAGTTTCTTTTGATACATTTTCAGTAATCAAGTTTTCATATATTTTATTTCGAACTTGCTTAGAACATAGGGTAGCTGCTATGGTCTTGCGCTTGGTCATGTCAGCTTTCAAGAAAATTGCATTGATTAGAGCTATGGCATTTTGCTGAATTATTCTATCTGAATTTTCTAAATGTGAAATCAAACTAGGAATTGTTATTTCTTTTTCAACATGAGAGTTTTTTCCAGAACTATTAAGAACAATGTTTTCAAGTATTGAGAGACAGGACTGAATTATCTTGGGATCTTGTGTATTAGTCTGATTACTGACAAAACTAACAACTTTGTTTATAAACTGATTTTCCAAAATGTCCCAAGATATTATGCCATGATCCATGAGCTCAACAAAAGTAACTAAAGCATACTTCAATGCAGTTGCTTTGAATTTCCCAGTTTCTATGTTGCTTATTATTAATGATAGGCCTTTTTTATTAATAAATTCAAGTGCAAAAGTGAGGTCACTGCTAACTGTGGATAACTTCATTAAAGCTTGCGTTTGTTCGGAGTCTGTACCAGTGTTTATTTTTGTTAATATGTCCTGGACCGTCTTTGCGGGGGACTGTTCTAATCGAAGTACAGATCCGTTTTTTATTTCATTTCGATTCTTTTCTGTAATATAATTTTGATTATTACTCTCCGAGAACTGCAAAGCGTAATTAGTAGGATCAGGAAGCCCCCAAGCTTTACACAAGAGCTGAATTATGCTGGAGAGAGGTTGACTTTGATCGAACTCTATCAACTGTGGCACCTTATCAGGTGCATTTAACATTTCCACTGCAATCTTCAGAATTGTCGAATCTTTCGTCGCGGGCGGCATTTTTATTGGCTTTACCGACATTTATTCACCATTTGACAACAGACTTCCTGGACACGAAAGCGTAGAACAGGAAACAGAATTTAATTTTGTATTCAAAAACACTAGGAAAACATTAATCACATTACAGACCAGGTAGAAATTGAGCAAATTACATTGTAAATCTTGACATTTGTTATTCTCATTATTGTCAATTTGTCAACTGTCAGTTAACAAGTCAAATTGTTTACAAAGCTTAAAATTTACGTTCTGTTTTTATGGTAAGCCTTCTTATGGAAATCTTCTCTTGGAAAGAAAAAAAACTGTTAAGCATAGCCCAGAATTAGATATAATAATAATCAAAATAGCAATCACATCTCATGTTTTAATAAAATAGGACTCACTTTGTTTGCTTCATGTCGGAACAACCCCCGCACGTGAGGGATCGGTAGTAGGAACCAAATTACGAGAGGAAATACGCTAGTGACGGAGTAGCAAAGCTGACATTCAAGAAGCTGACATCCATTTGAAGGGACACCTCTATATTCACCGGACCTAGTTGCTAGTGATTTCTACCTATTTCCGCGGTTAAAGGAACCATACATTTGAAGATGATGACACAGTTGTCGCCGCGGCCCGCGGTACACGATTTTTAAAGGACCAGGAAGATGTTTTTTATAAAAAGGGAATTTAAAAAAAAAGAAATACAAAGTGTATAATTCTTTAAAGTTTAAACAAAACATTAATTGCGTCATACTATTTTCGCTTTTTACTGAGCACCCCTAAATACTGTGTACGTATCTACGGTCCTTTTATACTTTATACACAATGATTAGATTTATCTAAAATATTTTAAACTTTCCGTCCTATATATATCTATGTATACAGTTATATACACCACAGATGGCAAAAGCACCATATAGTAAAGTATATTCTTTACAAATCATGTAGGTACTATGTAGGTTTTCTAGTTGAAAATTTTGATAAAATAAAATTTAACTATACTCAAAGATGTTATTGACCATTAAGGCTAATCTTTGCAAAATTTAACTTGGATGAAAAATTCCTGAACGTACAATTTTAAATATGTGATAAAAGCTTTGTAATTCTACACTTCTGGACCAATTCTCAAGCCCATTTTAACAAATAGGGTCACGGGCCACAGCTAACGTATTATTGTCTAACGCGCATCAATCACTTAAAAGTAACTTGATCCTCATGTACTAAAGAGGTAATGGAAGTTCACATTATAGTTTACTTCCAGTTTTCTTACCACTCGCATAGTTTACTGGATAAAGACAACATTAATCCTACGCAATTTTTAAAAATTTCTATGCAGTGATTATGCAGTCTCTTCTGAAATGTCTTTTTGTATTCTATGTTGCACAGTATGTGTTTACTTTCCGCTGTGATCGGCGACCATATGGTTCTCTGACACAACCCTCAGCTCCTGATGGAAGGTTCAAACTGGAAGTTGAAGGAGCGGACGAAACCTATATTCCAAATCAATTGTATACAGGTATAACAATTTTTTCCCTAAAATTTATGAATAAGTTTTGTTTACTACTACTTAATTAGTAATTGGAGCGCCTGCTAAGAAAACAGGTCAAGCACATTGCAATTCTAAGAAATAATATACTTATATGAATTCAATCGGCATTATACCTAAAGCATAAAGTCCATATCCACAGGAGACTAACACTTTACTACTACTATTTAGGTATATAGGTAGGTATACGTAAATACTAACAACATTTGAAATGGAGGATATGGAAAAAAAGGCTTTATTATTATTTAAGTTTAATTTACTTGACTTAATAGTATGAATACCTGGTAACACTGAAAATGTTTAGAAAATGAAAAACGGCTTAATGTAGAAAGTTGCCAATACTTTTATTGTTTTTCGAAGTAATCTCCGTTCCTCTCTACACATCGTTGCAGTCGATGGAACCACTGAGAAAAGCAGTGGGCCCATTCTACCGTAAGCGGGCCATAGACGGACGGTTTGCTCAGGAACTGCTCGAGCGGCCCGTGTATTGCGAATATGAATTTAGTATGGAAACTGCAGATCGCCGTGCGGCGACGGCTTAGAGCAGTCGGTATCGGCTGCAACATGCGGTCCGTCTATGGCCCGCTTTAGGGGTCTCTTCTATGGCATTTTGGTACGCTTTCACCGCATCTTCAGGGCTCGTAAAGCGAATACCTCGAATTTTATCTTTAGTTCTTGGAAATAAACGAAAGTCGCAGGGCGCCAGGTCAGGACTGTATGGCGGATTACTCATTATCTCGACGCCTGCCTGTTAAAGGACGTCCCTCACGCGGATCATCATTGAGATTGCTACGTCCACGCTTAAACTCGTTAAACCAATTGTAAATAGTGGCACGAGATGGGGCTTCATTAAAATAAATTGTGCGTGTACTAGGTGTACACACGTAAGAAGTGAAACTTCTTTATGATCTTATTTTTCGAAAAAAGATCTACTATATGCAACTTTACAGAAATTCGTTAAATTAGATAAAGTTTAACAAAAGGCTTTTATTATCATAGATATGAATACAAATATTTCATTTTACCTTATTACTACGAAGATTATTATAGAATTTCATTAATTGTAATATAATTATTACTATCATTGAAAAACGTGACGATTTGCTACAAAATGTCTCCAATACGTCGATAAAGAAGTTTCATTCCAACGCCGATAAAGAAGTTTCACTTCAAAAATCATTGACCGAAAATTTTCTCGTGTTCAGGTTCATTTTCACGTGTAACAAGAGTTTAAGATTTGCCGCCAATTCACAAAAACAAATGACAAATGAATGCAATATACTAAATTAGGTTACCAAAGAGTTCTAAAATTGAAATTCTAAAAAGTTTTCATTAGCAATGTTTCCAACAGGCCAGTTCTAAACATTTTCAGTGTTGGCCACGTAGTGAATCGCCCTTTTTGTGAGATTACATGCGATTACAGAACGAAATACAGTGGAAAGAGTGAAAGAATAATTTTGCCTTTTATACAATTGTAAATATAATTAGAACCATCTAAATGAATTCTGTTGTTTAAGTTTTCGCGGGAATGTGAACATTATATTTATAGCATTTCGATTTCATATAGAAATTCCACAATGTTAATAACAACAATTTAAATAGCAACATTTTGCAGTACGAATAACAGAAACGGATGGAGAATCAAGATTCACTGGTTTCATGATATCAGCTGAGGGAGAAGTGCGTCAAGATCCAAAGAATCCTCGGAAAATGATCACACTTTCGCCAGGAGATGTGACTCCTCGGAATTATCTCACTACGAAGTTCAGTAACCGCTGTCATTTTTCAGTCGAACATGCTGTTGGTACTCCGAAGTCTTCAGCAGAGGTATTATACCTAGATTTTACGTCTACAATAACTGAAACTGGAAAAATCGTCGATTTTTCGAATTTTTATCGTTTCTGTATGACACGTCATATGTTTGCAATTGACGCAAAAAGTGCTAATAGATTAATTTAAATCGAGCAACTTATTAATTTCTTTATCCTGAATTTCCTGTTCCTGAAGTAACCTGAACTTTATAATCTAAGAAAAAATATTGAACAAATATTACTCTCGCGCCAAATTGAAAAAACGCACCTTTCTTAATATCTATGCATTCTTGGCTATAGCTACGCACTGCGTTAACAATTAATCATGGAGACGGTGCTCCGATAGCTTAACCGATTAAAATCTAAGTAGTTTATATGAAAGGCCAGACCTCATTGATCTGAAGGCGTCACCAATAACAGGTGTACTGGCATGCTCCAGCGTCAGGAAATGGTTGTGTTACACTACGAGCAATGGTGGCAGAGAATAAGGAGAGCTGGTACGAAGATGGAGGACCCTTGTCCCTTTACCTATGTGAAGACATGCGACAGCCAGATGATATTACCCCACAAGTTAACTATGACTGTGGGATTTGTGATGAAGCTAAATACGAAGTGAGTCATTGTCACTTCTACTCCATTAATAAAGAGGAAAGAAAAAAAAACATACCTGTTTTGTATTTATTTGGTTTTATGTACGTTTTGCCTTTCTCTAGATAACATTCACCGGTATATGGTCAAGGAACACCCATCCTCGGCTCTACCCTGAAAATGACTGGTTACCCAGATATAGTGACCTTGTTGGAGCATCTCATGCGGCAGACGTGATCCTCTGGGCGCCAGGTTCCTTGACAACTGACGGGTTTAAAGACGTCGCTGAGTATGCTAATACAACACGTTTTGAACAGGAAATACGGGAGAAGGTACAAAAGACTGAAAACATATCTACCATAGGTTATTAAGGAGTGTAGGTATACGAGGGCGGCACTGAAATTTTCGGGAATCAAGGAAGTGACACAACATTACTATTTAAAAATGTATTTATTGCTTTTCGAAGTATTCTCCGCGAAATTTGACACATTTTTCCATACGATGGAACCAATCATTAAAGCAACCATTCCATTCGGTAGTTGGGGTCTCCAAAATGGCCGTTTTGTAGGCGTCCACAGCTTCTTCAGGTGATGAAAATCTCTGACCACGCAATTTATTCTTTATTTTAGGGAAAGTATAGAAATCATTAGGGCTTAGGTCGGGGCTGTACGGCGGATGGTCTAATAATTCTATGTTTTCTTGCTCTAAAAACTCTTTTGTTCTGTGCGCGGTGTGAGAACTCGCATTGTCGTGATGGAGGATGATGCGGCGGTTGCAGTTCTCTTTACGGAGTTCAGAAACGACCTGTGGCAAACAAATGCTAGCATACCATTCTGCATTAACCGTTCTTTGTCCCTCAAGAGGAATAGACGCAACATGGCCGGTTTTGGAGACAAACGTGGCCACCATTTTTTTTGCAACACTCCGTGAACGAACAATTTTCGTTGGCTCTAACTCATTTTCGAACACCCAAACTCGTGACTGGTTTCTTGTTTCGGGTTCGTACGCGTATATCCAGGATTCGTCACCTGATACGATGTTGTATACAGCATTTGAGGATCCTGCGTGGAATCTTTCGAGAGTTCTGACGCACCAAGTAACGCGAGCCGCTTTTTGCTCTTCACAGAGCGAATGCGGTATCCATCGGGAAAACAACTTTTTTACACCTAATTGTTCATGCAAGATTATTTGTATTTGACTCATGCCAATGTCTAAAGTTGCGTGAATTTCGCGGTATGTCACATGTCGATCTTCCTCAATCAGCTTACGCACAGCATCAACGTTTTCTTGGGTGACTGCAGTTTTTGGACGACCTTGACGGGGATCATCACTGAGCTTGACACGTCCACGTTGAAATTCAGCAAACCAACGATAAATTGTGGTTTTGGATGGGGCTTCATCACCAAATGCAGAAATCATCCGGTCAACACACTGTTTTTGTGATAAACCACTTCGAAAGTCATAATAAATCATCGCTCTTGAATTTTCTCGAGTCAATTCCATTTTCTCAACGACTAAACAAGTTTGACAAAACTTTGTGACAAGACCGAGAATCTTTTATAAAATAAATAAATGGTATTCGATTTTTAAAACCAAGGGGTTTTCAATTAAAAAGATTTAAATATGACAGGAACAGTGGTATTATTCCATTCCTGATACTTTTAGTGCAGCCTATGTACCTTTTCTGATTCTTTTCTTTTTTTCATTCTGTCTCAGTTAAATTCGTAATTAGAGTCTTGAGATAGGTACAGTTAGTAAGGAATGAATCAGAGATAACATCCAAACATTACTTATTATAACAAATTCGGGTTTTTAAACACTGGTTTGATTTGTTGTATTTATGAACAAGAGTGGCGGAGAGTTTATTGCCACTTCTTCTTTTCCGTTCCACGCCCTTGATTTGAGAACTAGCGGTAAATGTAAACTTAGAAGCATTTCATATATGTATATGTATTTCTTTTTTGACGTTTATAAGTGTAGGTACATTGTGTTACCTAAATGAATAAATGATTTTGAATTTTGTATTTTTTTTTGTGTTCGGCAGAAAAACTTATTAAAATAATCGTAAAAAATTTCAAAAAAATTAACCTTTCAGATTGGCAGCGGTGTCCGTACATTAATAAAAGGCAAAGGTCATGGATATTTAAAAATGAATTCTCCAACATACTCATTTATCCGAACGGACAAAGTGAACCATCTGATTACTGCCGCCGTGGGTATTCATCCCTCGCCGGACTGGTTTCTTGGGGTCAGTAGGTTCGAGTTATGTCAGGGTGACAGTTGGCTAACTGAGAGGGAACTAAATCTTTACCCGTGGGATGCTGGGACGGATAATGGAGTGTCTTATGAGGTATGTGCTAGTACAAAATATCACTTCTATAAAAATATTCATTTATTGAAGTGAAACTTCTTTAGGTGCATGAGGGTAAATTTTTGCGGAAACGTCACGAAGATTTAATCAAACGTCTTTTTTTGATGTTCATAAGTGAAAATTGTGTTACCTACATGAATAAATGATTTTTGGTTTTTGACTTGATGTGCAGCGTTTTTGTCGAAGAAAAGGGAGAGAGCGATTGAGACCGATTGAAAGAGAGTGAGAAGGGCGAATTACCATATAGTAATACTATTTTTAAAAATAACTTTCGTAAAGAGAATTTATGAAATACTAGCGGACCCGACAGACGTTGTCCTGCATGATATTTTAGGCGATTCGTACTTATATTAAACAAAGTATGATAATCTAAATCATCCAGGGCGTCACCCAAACGCATACAAAAAAAAACATTCAAATCGGTCCAGCCGTTAAAGAAGAGTTCAGTGACATACACACGTTCAACAGAATTATAAATAAGTATAAATAAAGATACTATATACCTACATATTAGCTCATACAGTTTATTCTTGTATCCCTTTCTAAAAGCTTTTTGATGTAGTGTGCTGATCTAGTTATAAGTAAAGTCTATTACATATTTTACCTTTTTTAAATAAATTTATTGATTATTATTTGATATGTATTTTATCAATAAACTAACTCCGATCGAAGCATTTGTGCTAAACGATATTCATTTTTCTTACATCCTCTTGGACGATATTTGCAGCTCGCATTCTGTCAATGTTATGTCAAACGCCATAAGGTTACATCAAAAAAGTTTTAATTGTATGGTGGTTAAGTATTCCTAATTTTTTGCTTTCATAAGAACCTTCTCCTGACAATAACAAACACACAAAAAAAAAGAATTAGCGAAATCGGTCCAGCCGTTCACGCGTGATGCCGTGACCAAGGGAAATAGGGATTCATTTTTACTCATATAGATTACTATTTCATATTTTATGCAAAATTATTTATTGAAATCTCAAATAACGAATTGTATATTAAAATTCCACGTGTTTTTATTATCGAAGAAATACATTTAAAAAATTAAATTTATAATTTGTATTAATTTTCGACACTTTTAATATCATTAAACAACTAAATTCATTAAATACCTACCATAATATCTTCCTTTTTCCCTCCCTCTAAGTCTCGAAAATCTAAAGTTATAGATTTGTATAAATATGAGCAAGACTTAAAAATTTGTTTGCCAAAGAAGTTTCATGTGTACCTTTGAACGCACGCACTTCATGTACTAGAGAATGAAAAACGAAGTACTTTAAGGGAATTCGTGGGCATCAAATAAACACGTCCCGTCTATTCAAAGACTGTAGGTGTAATCAAGTTAAAATAAAAAATTAAATTAAATCAGTGGCGCTACAACGTTTTTAGGTCTGGGCCTCAGATTACTAAATCTGTTTCATGATCATTTGTCAATCTAATCGGCAAGTAGGCCTCCTATGCCTAACACACCGTCGACTTTATGGGTCTAAGGCAAGTCGGTGTCTCTACGATGTTTTCCTTCACGGTTCGTGTGAATGCGCACATAGTAAAAAAGTCCATTGGTGCACAGCCGGGGATCGAACCTACGATCTCATGAGTCACTGCTGAAGCCCCTAGGCCAACACAGGTAATCGAGTTAAGCAGCAGACATGAAATCCGTCATAAATGCCTTGCCTTGTGTGCCCAATTTTTGTCATCAATGTTTGGAAGTCTTCCCTTGATATTTTCAGTCAGCGAATTTCCCAACATTCCCCCAAGCGGCCATTTCCCGCGTAGAGACCAGCTCGTACGACAAACATTCCCCATTCTACGAAATGGATATGAAGGAAATGCATCCCTTTGGAACGTTACGCATCAAATTAGTTAAAACATACAAAAGAGACTGCACAAGTAACACAAATGAAGAGCCCTCGGAGTCGGGCACGACAAGTAAGAGATATTCTTAATACAGATTTTTGTGTATCGCAAATTGCTTGTTTTATACAATTCCCTCTGCAGTTGTTAAATATTTTGTTGCTTAATTTGTAAGGACGTAATTTGTGTCTTCAACGAGTTCATTAGGAGTAAATAGTAATAGATTTCCGAGATATTCCCGATAATCGAGCCGATTATTACACACAGCTGAGGAAGGAACTTCGACAACGGAGCAACCATCAACAGAGTCCGAAGGTCTGTCGGAGCCAGAGGAGCCCTCAAGGTACCGATACACAGATAGCACAGGGTGAGCTGCTTTATACACACCCACCCGTTGACGGACAGGGCATTAACACTTCTATGTATGTTTTATTACTCCCTCTATCTATGGATACCGTGGTATTTAAGATGAAACACATTCAACAGAATCCCTGTGTACACTACACATTTGTGCTTTTCATTTGTCACCTCCGCGTAATCTTTATTTTGGTCCGGCATTTTAGTAAGATTTTTTGGGTTTTTAAAGTTTTATTTGTAGATTTGCATCTCGAACGATATCAATTGATAAAATATTTTGTATCGTTTTGTTTATAATGTTGCGCCTAATTGGCTTACATAGATATATATAGCTTATAAAAGGGGTTCTTTTTGTAATCACGTTAGCATTTCATATGTTACCTAAATAAAAGATGGAGTAACAAAACATAAAATTGTCCCGAGTAGAAGTCAAGACGATATCTATGGAAATTTTTCAGCCAACCCCCTCTGGTTACGGATCCGGAATCGTCAGAAGATTGCCCCATGACTCAGTGGTTAGAGTGGACTCCGTGTGACGGTCCATGCGAGAACGGAAGGGTCTCGGGTTTTCAATGGAGGGAAAGGTTTCACTTGGTCGACGGAGTTGCCGTGGAGAAATATGATCCTAATGTACGTCCAAAGTTTTAACTAAAAATTTAATTGTAACTTAAATGTGTGTGCATATACTTTAAACTTTTAAAGCTAACCTACTAATATAATATTTAGGACAATATTTTTACCATCGCAATAATAACCATATAATGGACTTATGATTGTCACATTTAATAAATAAATTATAATTATAAAAATAAAATAAATCAGTGACGCTACAACCTTTTTAGGTCTGGACCTCAGATTTCTATATGTGTTTCATTCTTGTATGTATAACTATTAATATATATTATTATATGTTTAGTTAATTGTTATGAGTTTTTTCATATCACGCATAGGTTGATCCATCTACGAGAAAAGAAGTTCCAAGATTTTGCAAAAATCACTACGAGGATTTTGAAAGACGGGAATGTGAAGATGATTGTGATGAAGAGCAGAATGAAGTCGCGCGTTAAACAAACAAGAAATTGCGATGGTTAATTTAATTATAGATATTTTTAATAAAATGTTTCATTTAAGAGTAGGTAGGTACAATGACTGCATATCAGCAGTAAACAAATAATATTATTTAAACTGTGTACTGTTAATAAATGTGTTATGTTATATTGTGTTTCCATTTCTTGAAAAATAACATCTAAATATAAATCCTTAAATGCATTTCTAATATAAATAACCCTGGTTAATTTTGAAATGAATGTTAATAAGCAAAAATAACAAATATACAGATGTTTTATTGGAATCGCGATTGTGTTTAATCATCTCGATTAAAACAAATTAAACCGAATTCAGTTGTTGCATCACAATTGTGGAACATGGTCTCGTGGTTGAAATAAAATGTCGACAATGTTTCGAATTACTGGTGAGGAATTTTCATTGAATTTAATATTAGATTTATCAAAGATAAACGTCTTCGTGTCGTAATGTTTATGTTGTATATGGGGTATATAACTTGGAGATCTGAAAATAATTGTTGTGGCATATGTTCAATTTTTGTAAACGACAAACGCCTTAAAACCTTTACAAACCCGTTAATTTCTTAAAAATTTTAACTGATGAAACCAGTTTGAAGACTATTTATTACAATTCTAAGTGTACTACGTTAATTATTAACTCTCTATACAGGTTTAATAATTTTAATTTTCGCCCTCAATCGCTACGAATGTTACGAAAGTGAGATTGGTTGCAACCGACGTCCCTTAGGCACTAAGACCGAACCTTTGCCCCCAGACAATCGATTTAAAATCGATATTATAGGCATAAATGATGATATGTACATACCAAGGCATCAGTACACAGGTTTGTACAGTACATATCTTCGTAATTAACAAGGAATTTAAAAAAAGTGGGACACAAAGAAGTGACTCCATAGCGTGTGTGGTTTTGGAGTCACAAAATTAGTGTCTTGTAATATTAAGTGAATAAACGAATAAAATAAATAACCAGTGCCTTAAAGTTAAAACCAAGTCATCAACTGTCAAGTCTAATCAGCGGGGTTAAATAATCTGTTACAACTACACAGAAACGTTAATATACCTACAATTAATCTCTTTGCACTGACTATTAACAGTTACATAACACAAAAAAAGAAAACAAGATATAAGGTGAGTTCTATTGAGGAAATTTAAAGTTTTAGATATCCAGACCGATTTCCTCAAATAGTTTTTAAAAGTATTTTTACTAACTGCCTGGACTTATGGTTGTTTATTTAGAACTCTTTATTGTTAAATGAGAATAATTGTCTTAAATTTCAGTTCGTCTTTACTCAAACGACGGTGTATCCAGTTTCATAGCCTTTACCATATCAGCTCGAGAAGATACCAAATACAACGAGAAGAACCCAAGAAAACCTATTTTATTGGATCCCGGGGCTATTAAAGTATCGCCAGATGCGCCCTCTGTGCCTAGTCCATGTAAAAATTCGGTTATACAGTCGGATATTAAACCAAAAAAGTCGATAGAGGTATGTAGGAACCCAGCTGTTTCTAAGCTAAGTAAAATACCTCAGATTTTTGTATCTGTTCGTGTATCGTGATCATTTGTTTTTACTAAAAGGCAAATAGGTGATCAGCCTTTTGTGCCTGACACGCGCCAATGAATTTTTAGATCTAAAGGTGGCGACTGACATCGAATTTTCGCTTGATGTGAATATTCGCATGAATGCATGTTCCTTGTAAGCATGCTCACAACACCTGAATATTCGCGATTCGCCTGTGCTCCATCCCATCTACAGTTGCGGTCAAATTGGCGGACGTAGAGGTGGTGGCGACTGACTGAACATGCAAAAAACCGACAGCCGAGTGGAGCGCGCTCGTGCGCTCGGCTCGATGTACTGACATGCCGAATATTGGCCTTGTAACGTGCTCACATTGACCGAATATTCAAAGTCAGTCACCACCTTTAGGCATGTCGGTTTCCTCACTAATTCCTCTCGGTAAGAGCGAGCCCACATAACCGGGGTTCTGCGATCTAAGGGATGAGAGTCGCACGCTAAAACCACTAGGCCAACACTGCTTATATAAGAAGTTAGCTACAATATATATTTCCAAACTACGGGGACACGTCATTAATAAAAAATGTTACAATGTAACGGATGTCCGAGTACGACATGAGGCTATTGACTATGACGACTACAGTTGCATATAACATCAAGAGGGAACATAATAATAAACATGTTTCTTTATTACATTTCATAGGCTGTGTGGATAGCACCAGCGAAAGACAACAAATGCGTTACAATATACGCAGTATTGGCAGTGAAACAAGATGTGTGGTATAATTCCGACGGTCCCTTGTCAAAGAGAGTGTGTGAGGATAGGCGTAACATGGAAGACATGCAGCCTGTTGAAAATGATAATTGTCAGGCTTGTGAAGATGCGAGATATTTGGTAAGGTGTTAATAGATTATGGAATATAAATTTTCTCTACCATGCCATATTTTAAGTATGTTTCACTAGGTTTTAGTATCATAAAATACTTAATATTAACAGCAATTTAAACTTTTAAAACCTTCTACTTCACATTGAAAATAAAAAGTATTGCTGTATATTTTGTAAAACAAAACGGACACTTAAGAAATTTATGTCCTAGGGTAGATTTCAGTTAAAAATGAAATTAAACTCAGACGTAGCTTAGCTTATAATCGTGTAAATAAATACACATGAAGTGAATTCTGGCATTTTAAAAATTTTTCATTAAACAAAGTTACAAATGTAAAAACGTAATGACAAGTGTGCCCTACTCTTGCCAAAATCTCAGCTTGAATCCTTCTGGGCATGTTTATCATTATGTTTTGAGGAATACCTTACTCCTCTCTTTAGAACATCCCAGACATGCTCAATTAGATAGAGGTTAGGACTTCGAGCTGGACAATCCCACTTTGTGACGTCCACGTCTTCCACGTCACCAGAATGGCGCAGGCGAGCATTGTCGTCCTTGAAATTGGAATCGTATATATTAAGAGCGTTAAAACGAACAAAGGCAATGTAAAACCTCTGCGCTTTTTCATTGCATTTGTTCTGCACTTGTTTTTGTGTGCAATTTTTGATGACTCAAAACTCAGCCAAAATGACCAAATCATTAAGACAAATTTGAATACCTGAATATATAATATATAACTATATTATATATTTAGAATACTCCCTTTTTTAGCTAACATTTGACGGTATTTGGTCGTATAATACACATCCGGGCATGTTCCCAAAGACACAGGAATTGGCCCGATTCAGTGATGTAGTCGGTGCTTCGCATAGTAAAAGTTTTAATGTATACAAAATACACTCGGAAGCGAGTGCGGGACTGAAAATGTTAGCGGAACAAGGAAACACCACAAAACTGGAAATGGAAATATTATCACAGGTATTTTTTTTTTTAAATAACACATACAGTACTGAACCCATCCCTCCACAGCATAGAAACCCCACGGCGACACCGTCTCTCGCCAATCTCCGGGTCATGAAACTAGTTTTGTATATGAATAATTTTATAAGTACTTTGAGCTAAAATAAAAGCATGAAAACTTGTTATATTCTATTCCAGTTGGGCTCTTCAGTTCGTACGGTAATAAAGGGTTCAGGTCGTTCGAAACCGAACATGGTGACAACAACGTCATTCAGAGTAACTCGACAGCACCATAGAGTGTCACTGGTGACAGCCATCTTGCCTTCACCAGATTGGTTCCTCGGCGTGTCCAATATGGAACTGTGTGATGCTGTGACACGTAAATGGGCACCGAATTTGACCTTAAATCTTTACCCTTTGGATGCTGGGACGGATAGTGGTACTACTTTTGAGGTAACATATTTTTAGTGACCTAGTGGATCTTAACGCCATTGTCTTGCCCTAGTAGCTTTTCTTATACAAAATTATAAATTAAAGGATTTTTAAGAAGTTTAGGCGTTATTTATTTATTTTTGTGATTTTAATGGTATATATAATATAAAACGCAAAACGGATGTAAAGTTTATCTTGTTATTAATTTAATATATTACTACGTGTTCATTTTCCTACACCTGTTTTATATCATATATATCAGTCATATATATGATATACTTAATATTTAATTAATAGGTAGCAGTAATAAATAACTAAATATAATTTTTTACGGTATTTTGACAGAACCAAATTTATATAACCTAAAAGCAGTTATGACATTAAAAAAGCATCCAAAATTATTCAAAACAGTAAAGAAATTTGCCTGTATCTACCGAGGGATTCAACACGGATGCACCACGTTGTATTAAAAAAATTGTTACGCTATGGCTATCAAACTATTTAATCACCTTCCTAGAAGTTATAGATCACTGCCGTGTAATGCTTTCAAGGGTACCTACGGTGATTACATTTTTAAAGGCAAGGTGCCTTCATATCGTTGGACAGTATTTAGACTATAAGTTTGACAACAATTATTATTAACTGTTATTATTATTATGACATCATGATAATTAATACGACATTTGTATGCCTATTTCTATATGGCTGATTGTGCGGTGTTTTTTTTTATAATGAAACAATCTGAATGTACCTACCGGTGCATGTAAACGATTTGTTATTTTAATAAGAATTATGGCAAATTATTTTAGGCATCAAACGATGACACTATGCCCCCACAACCGATATCTTCAGCGCCGATTAACAAGGATATACCGAAGGAACAGATAAAACCTTTTGCCAAACTAACTTTCGAACTTACCAGAACTTACCCAAAACTATGCGACTCTGAAGAATCCTCTGAACCGCACGTACAAGGTACATATTGTCCTGGATTAGACCCCAATTCGTATATGTAGATGTTTGTCTTGTTTTATTATATGAGATCTCGTATATTTCTATAACATTTCATAAATATTAAGTTTTACTTGTTTCAGAAGAACATGAATATAAAGAAATTAACAATAATCAACCTACTACGCCACCTCCAGTGTAAGAAAAATATTTATCCATTAACGCTTCGTTGCAAGTGTACAGAAATATAGTATAATGAAAATAATTGATTAAAAAGGAGGGCCACTTGGAGGGTAGCCTTATCAAAGTTAAAGTCAAAAATCATTTAATCATACACAATGTACATCTTATGAACGTCAAAAAAGAAATGTATATGAAATGCTTCTAACTTTACATTTAGTGCCAGTTCTCAAATCAAGGGCGTAGAACGGAAGAGAAGAACTGGCAATAAACTCTCCGCCACTCTTTTTAATCGCCATGTATTTTTTTACACAACGTTTGTAAGGAGCTGCACCCATTACACCATGTTCCACATGACATCTTACCTAATTAATAATAATAAAGTAAATTTAAAACAAAGACTTGTCCTCTATCAGCAGAAGGCATGGTGAAATAGGAGCACGCACTTACATTCTCGTGGGAACAACACGCAAATTCATAGTCAAAATAACTAACATCACCGCATACACGAATTCAAGTACGTCACCACAAGTAGCACCCTTTCACGAGTATGACGCATGGCCAGCCATCGGCCCCCTCGCCATATTTTAGGGAGAGAGACAACCCGACGCATGGACGCCGCCAACGCTTGTCGCCTTCGAGCGATCCCTTCCAGGCAACCACCAACCATATAATAATAAAAAAATATTCATTAAAAAACTAGTACAGGTTACGCACTGGTTAGCTTAATGTAAGGCGTTTAGACCAGCTCATACGTATACGTATAGATCCCATTTCATATTGAGTTAATTTATTTTGCAGCGAAGTATCAATTTCCGTGGACCCCGACTCGTCTTCAGAATGTCCGATGACGGAATGGGAGGATTGGTTGCCGTGTGAAGGGGAATGCATAGACAACAAACTACAAGGATTCCAGAGCAGGTTCCGCTATCACCTTGTTGATGGCGTTGCTGTTGGAAAGTATGTGGAAAATGTAAGATTCCGTCAGAGATTCTTCTTTGTCCTTTAGTTTAAAAATTACCTAGAAATTTAGATAAACTTCTTGCATGAAAACGAGTCTATGTAAGTGATAATAGAGAATATAAAATTCATCCTGATCAATATGCAACAATAGCCTAATCTGACCTAATCGTTTTCTGCTTTTCACAGGGACCTTCTTATGCAGATAAAGAAGTATCAAGATACTGTCAAGAAAATTATGAAGACAGTGAATTACAAGCTTGTGAAGAAGCTTGCAACCAAGAGGAAGATTCTTGAGCTTAAAATAAAATTATTCCAAATGAAAAATATAAAAGTTTATTCTTTAAAAAATTATAATAGATACTATTCTTTTATCCAACACACAAATGTACAGTACTACAATATAACATTAAAACAAATTTTAATAGTTTGGTCCCTCTGCGTATTTTATCAATAATATAATAAGTCCAATCAAAGCATTTGTTTTAAACGATATTAATTTTTCTTACATCCTCCTTGACGACATTTGCAGTACGCATTCTGTCCATCATCAATGTTATGTCAACCTTTTCCTGACAATACCAAACACAACAAAAAAAGAATTAGCGAAATCGGTCCAACCGTTCACGCGTGATGCCGTAGGGAAATAGGGATTTTTATATATTATATTATTATAGGTAACTAGTCTGTCATACTTTATACTACTCTTGATCCTTTTATTCTTTTGCTCCTGAAGTTGGGGAAGTAGAGATTGTTTGATTTAAGACTTTGGGTGAGAGACTTGCTGTTTAATATAGCAAGAAACCAGAGGCATAAAACGTAACATCAAAGATAATTAGAGAAAATAGCCAAATCATTGGTAAGGAAAAGTCGTAACTTTCGCGGTTTCAAATTTTGACCATGGATGTCACAAGCTGTATCAAAATAGGAATATTTATCTAATATGTAATTCGAAATCTTAAAAAAACCGCCGCGAGATATCGCTTTGAAAATCCTACCTACGCCCTGAGGCATAGGCGAGGTTGTAAATTTTTGAATGGTGACTACAACATGCAAATGCAAATTGCAAGTGCGGCAACGCCGAATCAAATGTATGAGATGCGACTCTTAAATATTGATTGAATTATGCAAAAGCAAAAGAGACCCGTAGATATTGGTACGTATGTACATACACTAGTGAATATTAACTTTCATAAAATGGGAATACTATTATCATAATAATTATAACTCATATTATAACATTATTTTGTATAATTTTAGATTTTGGGTTGAAATAACAATAGGTATATTGTATATGGGTACATTAGGGAATTATATACTAGGTAAATAGATTAATACATTTTATTGGAATTGCGAGGAAATCTTGACTAGGACTTTTTTTTTTTATCTGCGTTTAAACAATTCTCTCTTTATTAGTTATTTTTATTTATGTATTTAAGTTTTTCTTTTATATATTTATAAAAATACTTATATTTATACATTAAGGTAATAGTAATAACGTAGCGCTTCCGTCATTCGCGGTTTCACTATTCGCGGATTTAAAAAAATGCAACCCAATTCACGGATCTAAAATTTCATACAAAATTCCAATAAGTGTTTAACGCAATATCATATAGATAATATGGAGTGTAATCCTGATATTAATGTTATGGATTTCTTCCAGCATAAATTTGACACAGCACAATGCATCGTAAACATAAAAGAATCATTGGAAGAACTGAAACCACACACATTGAAGTCATGCTGGAAAAAACTATGGCTTGCTCTGACTGCGGAAAATGACGAAGAATCCGTGCAAGTTCAAACTTTGACTGCATACATAGGCGAAATTGCAAATGGAATAGGACGAAATGGGTTCGAACAGATAGAATCAAGTGACATTCAGGAATGGCTTGAATCGCAACATGAAGATTTGACTGAAACCTACTTTAAGGAAATGTTAAATTCACAGCCATTTACTCTGAAAAATCTTAGTGAAGGTTTAAGAATGGCAAATGAGCTTTGCGATTTCTTTATGAACATTGATCCATCTATGGAAAGAAGTCTTAATTTTAAGAGGCAAATTGCTAATGCGACTACTGAGTATCAGTCTGAATTGAAGGAGCTATTAAAAACTGCCAAGCAAGAAAAATTAACAAAATTCTTCAAACCATTGCCTAAGCCTGAGGATAATGATTACATAATCAAAATGTTCAATAACATCAATAAAATTGATTTTCTATTATATATTTGTGTTTTTATTTTTGCTCCGAGGAACGTATCCCCTATAAACCCATATAAATTACCATTCTGTATTCACGGTTTCTGTGTGCGTTTTCCAATTACAGCACTAGAGCGCATTTTGCGGCATAATGCTCAACGTTGAGTGTTCCAACTACAGCAACGCTTCGCACAATTGAGCACTCTCAAAACGAATGCTCTCGCGAGCTTCTCGCAAACAATACCAACACAGTGACAGAAAATTGACCAGTATTTTTCTTTAAGTTGGCATTTATCGAAATTTTCGTTAGTAAATATTATTTATTGTTGAAAAATTTGTAAGGCTTTCGTTTCGTCGTAGATTTTGAAAATAATTAAAGTTATTTCAAACTGCCAAAAAAAAAATATTAGTATGGATGATAAATAGTTACTTTTTTATATTCCACATTTAAAATATGAATATAATTTTATTTTAAAATTCGGATCTGTAAACAAATTTACTTTACAGGATTATACTTTAGAAAAAATTGCAATGGTTTTGAAAAAGTATATAATGTTTTTAGAAATCATTAAAAAATATTACTCAAAACGTAAATGATGTAAACTTCTTACATGAAACTAAATATTTTACTGTTAATTTAGCTTGTTAAAACCTTATATCCTTTAAAGGTTTTCTCTTATTTCAGTAAAAAAATGTTAATGAAATAATTTGATTATTAAATTAAGCGTAAAAAGTTTTCAACCAATTATTATTGTTTACCAAATTATTTATACATTAATGAGGTTGCTAACTCTATTCAGACCATTTTTTTGTCAACACTGACTTAGCGCACTCTGCTGATGCATTTGAAAACTAATTCACGTTCCAATTAAGCTTCAGCATTATGCGGCATTGTGCGGCACTGAGTCGCAAAATGCTCTGTAATTGGAAAACGCACTGTATTAGCGGCATATTTATGGAACATTAACCCCGCGAATAAAGAGATTTTACTGTATAGAGAAGCTGCGTCAAACAAAAATATGTCAAAATTATTAAACTTTATGCGTATTAAGCGCTGGATTATTATAGGTGTAACAGGGAATTTTAACAGTTTTAAAGATATTAACAATTATTATTATAATAATTATTATTTTTAGTCATCTGTATGATAGCATAAACATACATTTCAGACTTATTTTATTAGTCTGTGGTTAACCTTACGTCATCAAAGTTCAAACATCCTTCGACATTTTAATTTTGTGATTTGATTGATTCTTTTCTTTCTCGTGATTTTCCATGGGTTTTGATAAGTAAAAATTATTATTGTACGGTTTTGTTTAATCATATTATGCTTCCAAACAAACCTAAATCAAAGTTAAGACGTATTTTCGGTGTAGCTGCGGCTAGTATATTTGTGGTTGAAGTTGCCGGTGTAGCTGTTACTTACGGGCTCTGGTACAAATTAAACACTGAAAGAGGTGAGTTTCTGAACTTTTTATGATTAAAGAACAATAAGATTATGTTTATATCATGTGTTTTATGACTTTATTTCGATTTGCATGACATTAAGAATGGGTCGATAGGGCGACATTCGTATCTGTGTCAGCTCTCAATATGTTTTTTTATATTTCAATAAATTGTCAAAAAATGATATTTACACGTTCCTTTCCAGATTTTCGTTTGTATATGTACAAAAATTACAATTGGATAATAGAGGGTTACTATTCCGTGGGTGAAACTGTGGGTGGGTTAAAAACTAGAGAACAGGACAAGAAAATTTGGGAAAACGAAGGGAAACTATAACTGGTGAGATGAATATAGCTGCTAGGTCTCTCTTCTGGATTTTCTCCATTGGCACAATCAGTTATGGCCTCTTCACATTTGTCAAACCTGATGATGACTTAATTAAGCAGGTCATTAAATTTTAATTATCTTTGTTTGGTCACTGATTTTTTGTTTTAACTTTGTGTTATTTATTTTTTATTTTAACATAATTTGTGTTGTCTATGTTTATTTGGAATGAACTAAAACAATTATTGAAATTTCTTTGTTTACTTTAGTGACATCAGAGAAATTTTTTTGTTTTATAATTTATTTGTTGTGGTATTTTTAATGAACATCAGGGCTATATTTTGTTTTTCTAGGTGTTTCTCTGTTTGTGGTTACTAGGGTGTTTAATATATACACATTATCAAAATCAGTGGTCAAGGTTGTTAAAATCATCATTAATTAAAAAATAAGCATAATACAAATACACATTATCATCATGTTTGATCAATAGTTAACCTTTAAGCTTAATTCTAATATTATGTAGATTAGAACAATTTCATTAAAAATCATTAACTATGTCAGTAATTTGTTGGTTGTTGATTAATATATATCCAATATTTCAGTTTGATAGAGACTCAAAACACACAACTGCAAGACAAGTCAGTCGGGACACTGTATCAGTACTTCAAGAAGCCATAAAGCAAGACTCTGATATATCTAAGAAAGTAGATGAATTAATAAAAAAGGGAAAATGAATGAAAAATCTGCTGTTTTAGAAAGGCTCAGTAGAAGGGAAGCACAGCGTATTGAAAAACTACAAAAAGCACACAAAGCAAAGGAAGAGGTAGACGCATCAAATGAAAATGAAGAATATTTTTCAGGAGCATTTAAAATTCGTGCAGAAATTGTCGAGCATTTACTCTCTGAAGTCCCCACTTTGGAAACAACAATTCTACCAGCCCACTTCGATAATATTAAAAGAGAAGTTAATGAATTGCAAAAATTTGTTGTCACTTCGTCATTTTTCCTTAAAGAATTCAATTTGCGTAAATATCTTGGTATTGTCCAAAACCTGCAAACAAAATGTTATGAACTGGAAGACAGATATGTTCCCCGCAAGAAGTTTGGATTTTCAAGAAAAAAATTGCCTAAATCTCATACAGGAAAGCAAGATTCCCTTGATGAAAATGATGGAACTGGTAAAATTGACAGTAATAAATGGGATGAAAAATTATTTGGTTTTGATTCCAAGGAAAATGAAGTTTTATCTATAGGGAATGAAGAGCTGTATCAAAGAGATGTGGCATTACGTAATTTAAAGAATTGTACAGTAGTTTTGTGTGGGGTTATGGCAACATTACATTTAACGAATTTGGAGAGCTGCATTATTCTTTCGGGTCCAGTGACATCATCTGTGTTTGTGGATAAATGCAATAATTGTAAAATTGTGACTGCCTGTCAACAGCTTCGCATGCACACTTCGACTAAATGTGACGTATACTTACACGTAACGAGCAAAGGAATTATTGAAGATTGTACACAAATACGGACGGCTCCATATAACTTCAATTATGACGATTTAGAAAAGCATTTCAACATGTCATCTTTGGATAAAAACAGTAACAATTGGAATACTTTAGATGACTTCAACTGGCTGGCTCCGGATGTACCATCTCCAAATTGGTCAACATTAGAGTCAACCCAGCGTATTTCTAATTGGACAGAACGGTGGTCCGAGCTGCCCTCGTAATATTTAAATTAACAAAGTAACAGCTGATGGCCTCCCTTTTTGCTTAATCTTTGATACAAATTAATACTATCATTTATAAATGCATTTTTATTTCAAGGTGCTTGAGTCTTACATATTTAGTAGTTTCTTACAAGTAGATGTAGAAAATTTGTTGTAACAGCCTAGTTTACCTTAGTTAGCTTTATTAAATCAACTAATGACAAATAAAATGATTTTATATATTATTTGCTATTTTAATTACTGAAGTATCAATGAATAATGTTTACTAATGAATACCAATACTATTTATATATTGCGTTGTGTTCGAGGTCACAAATTAAAGTCCCTTTAACAATGTATAAGAGTTTATTTCTACTGAAATAGAAAATACATAAAATTCAAACATCACAGTGCCTACATCTCATGTTTTTATGTTATCTAAACTACATTGAAGTGAGAACATTGAAACATCAAGGTTTGGAGGTCAGAAATAAAATGATTAAATTACTTAAATATTAAATTTTTTAATCAAATATGACATTTTATTGACTAATGTGGAAAATTTACAGCTGATATAACATAATTTTTCTGAATATACAATTGAGCAATGTCTTACGAATTTATGTACATAGAAAAGTACAATTTGTGACAAATTTCATTGAAAAGCTGGAAAGAGTATTTTCGTTAAGTATTAGGTAGGTAAATAATATTCACATATTTTATATTAAAAAGATATTGCATATAACATATCTTATAGTAGCAGTGTGCTATTAGACCAGGGTCGATAATTTTTGAAACCTAAAAAAATAATAGAAGGATGAAACCCATTGGAAAAGGAGGAGAATATTATAAAAATTGATGGAAAAATAATTTACGGGCGATCTGAGGTCGGGAAGGGAAGGGGGGGTAAAAAACGGTTTAAAAAAACTAAAAGTCCTATGGAAAAAGTCAAATGGCAAAGTTGTAGGTAATAAAAAGATTTAATAATTATAGCAATATTATTTTACATAGAAATAATATATATATTTAATTAATGAGAAAAAAGGAGATCAGTGTGGGTACTCTGTAATTCCCAATAGCGATCTCTTAAGATCGATTATGATTGGATTTTTTTAAATTTATAATATAATTGTTTTCAGTGGGGCTGAGGGCCCTATGTTTCCATGGGGCCCTGGGCTGCAGCCCAAAAAGTAAAAATATTTATTTTCGAAATATTGACTAAATAATATTCACCTATAGGTAAATTACCTCAATATTTAAAGTAATACTACTATAAGTCAAAACGGCAGGAATGATTAAGTACATCAATGGATCTAGGTGGAATCCTAATCGTCATCATTCATCTTATCTCGGAATAAATAGGGAATCACTATATATATAGCCTAAAGTAAATTATATAGATTTTACTATTAATTCTGAGAGAATGAAAGTGGAAATAATTTGAAAGGTGATATAAATTATAACTAGATAGATAGATTACGTCATTTATTTCTCATAATTTCATGAGGTTTTTTTTAGGGATTTTTCTATACTTACTTATTTTAACCAATAAAAAGTAAAATAACGAACACATCGTGTAAAAGACACTTCTCAACAAACAACACATCTAATGAAATTCCAAACTAATATTGTAAATGCGAGAGTATTTCCTCGTTTTATACTGCATAGTACAAAATTAAGTAGAAAATTGTACATTCATCCATTACAAGTAATTTTAATGGCAGTAAAGAATTAAACTTAATAATGTAGCAAATGGCAAAAAATTTATATTTATAAAATTTTAAGTCGTATCATTAATTCTATACTAGCGACCCGTCCCGGCTTCGCACGGAATCTCGCCAAAACCGCATAAAAGTCCGTGCAGTAGTTCTGGGTATAACGCGAACGGACATCACCACTGAAATCGACTTTCGCATTTACAACAGCCGACATAATCTTACGTCCGCCGTCACCAGTTGGGTTTCTTGTGAGAGATGGTCCATTGTTGATAGGTGTTGTTGTCGTCGCAAGGAGCCAGCCCCAGAGTCCGCGAGTGCGGCTGAAGGGTGAGGCAGTGGCCGTGCAGGCGATGCACTATTTGCTTATGTTCTTCGGTGTATCTGGAATTTATAAATAGCGTTTTAATTATCGATCATTGAACTGTCTTCACTTATCACATCTCTAACACGAGTACCACCTCCAAGGCCCGTCGACAGTGCCGAGTCTGCAAATGGCCTGTTTGACACTGTCCGAGTCGGCTTCCACACATCTCTCCCCGACACCTAATTGACCGGCTTCGTTTAACCTGAATAATTGGTTATTACCGGCGCCGTGGCAGGAGGATGTACCTGCAATATAAAATACACTAAAACGAATTGCATAAGGTACATTTGAAAAGTGGTCACTACTACTGACGAGCCCGATTAGTTGAGGTTGTATGTTACGAGAACCGATCTTTTCTCTTGTCTTATTATGGTGATGGAGTGGGAATACAACATATTACTTATGTTTGTTTGAACTAAAATATGCCAATAATAATTACTACTACTGATCATATTTTTTTCTGTAATGTGTTATTTTAAATATAAATATGTGAGGTAGCATGACATATGTATGTGCAACACGGAATGTATTTAATTCTACATAAGGTACACAAAATTTAAAAAAATACGATACATATATGATATAAAAATATATTAAAATATTTTTTCGTATTTTATGAGCATCATTCGGATTTCATATAAAATAAAATGGCCAAAATTTCCCAACAATAAATGTTCTTTGGAAATAATAATGTTAATGTCGACTTTGTTAATCTGAATTCGATTTTTTTTTCATTTGTATAGAAGCTACTTATTATTTAGTGTGCATATAAACTGAGACGTAAAATCCATTGAATAACGTCAACCAACTCAGTTGAATCAATATGTTCTTTCGACAGTTGTCTATATTTATCAACTATATATTATATTGCTAATTAAAATAATACTTCTGTGAACGATATTACTAATGCTATAAAAATAAAATATGTTTATTATGGGATATAAGATACAGGTATCACTTATTCCACGTCATCAAATTTGAATCGGTAGACATTCCTACATCAAGGCAAAATGGACAGAGGGTCGAGAGAAAAAGCCGGCGTAAAAAAACTCGGTAGGTACTCTTTTCAAATAGCAAATTATCAAACAACACTTATTTTATGTAGGTAATAAAAAGATCTAAAACTTTTGTTTTTCACATAACCTCAAAATTTATGTGAAAAATTCAAAAAACCAAGTTTTTGGTTTTTATCTTTTACAAAATTTATTTTTTTTCCCACGAAATTTGGTGAAAACTTACCTTTTTATGTCTTTAATATGCTGTAATTTATTTGATTTGAAATAATATTTTTTTCACCTTATTTTGAATTAATATCGAAAAAGCACCCTAATTTTCAATCTAAAATTCACCCGTCAAAATATCAGCTTTTTTCAAAAAGTTGGTGTGCTTTCAGTTCGTTGAAATCTCTACTTTCCTATGGTAAAAAAATATATAACCAAAAATATATAGTAAATCTTCTCTAAAAATGCAAAAAATCGTATGCAGTAACGCCCAGACCCGTCATCATCTTCCCTACATCTCTATGATTAGATCTTTTTATTACCTACAACTTTGCCATTTAAATTTTTTCCATAGGACTTTTAGTTTTGCCGGAAATCGAGATAAACCGTTTTTTACTGACTTTAATTAGTCTAGTACGGGGAAATTGCAGCCTGCGTTTGTTCAGAGTAATAACATTACGCATATGTTATATTCTAGTAAACTTATCACTATTCTTGTATACATACATAATATTTATATAAATATATTGCGTAGGAAAGATTAGTAAGTATATTAATTTCCTTGAATTTATCTCAGAGATTCCCTACAGTTTAAAATAAATAGGTAAATATAAGCAAATTAGATCATGATCAAGTGATCAAGTGTGTGGTGTAATTAGCTTACCTATATAAGCAGGAGCCGCTTTCCCCATAGTATCCAAACAAACACCTGTGGCCTTATTTTTGACCATGCCCCAATGTGTATTCTTCGGCAACCTCGGGAACTTGTCGTACACGTCGTACGCCACATTCTCCATAAACCAGCTGAAGCTTTTGCACTTCAACTTATCTCTTAAAGCAATTTGGTCAGTTATATCGCCCATATCCAAAAACCTGGCCATGGGCTCTCTCGTGTAGAAGTATTCTTTATGTTCCTCATCAAACCAGGTTTCTATGACTCTTTTGTAGTTTATTGTGATTAGCGATCCTTTCCGGTTCTTCGCTAAGTTTCCGAAGGAGTAAGGCATGAACGCCCGATACACGTGACCCACCCTCGAGCACGGTACCCATTCGATGCTTCCCCCGCACTGCCATATTTTGAAACTCAATTCGAAATTCTCTCCTCCCCATACCAGCAATCCTGGATCATATGCTCCAATTTCGAGGAAATACCTTCTGTTAATTGCGAAAAGACCCCCAGCGTGAGTCGGACTTTTATATGGTTCAGACTTATGTTTGTGAAGACTCGCTTCTCTGTCTGGTACTTCATTTTCTTTATACAACATACCCCACTCAAATATTCCTCTGTAATTAGTGCCGTGTTGGTAGACAGGTCTATATTCAAAGGTCCTGTGGTCTACACCATCTATGACGGGTACGGTCATAATTCTATAGTCTCTGTATATAGGGGCTAGTAATGGAGGTAGCCAGTTGACATTCACTTCACAATGTGCATCCAGAAATACGATGACATCACCTGTGGCTTCTTGTGCACCCCTAGATCTAGTTCTAATCAGCCCCTCTCTTTGGGAATTTCTAATCAAACGCACTTTACCATTCCAACGTCTGATGTAGACCTCCAGGTTCAGTTTTAAATTGTCTTTGTCAGAGAAATCATCAACCTGTAAATAGAGGAATTTGTTACGATTTTTATCATAATATTAGTACAGACATTAGTGTTTTATATTTTATGTTTTCAATTGTTTGCAATTATTAGGCTGTCATCTTTTATGCAAGCAGGCAACCTCCTGGTGGTTTACCTTTAAATATACCAAGATAAGGTTGTTAAAATATAAATGAATTTATTATTTGAATTAGGTAAAATAAACACTTGAAAAATAAACATTAAAGTTTGAAATTGTCGAAAATGTACTTTTTTTTTGTCACTTACCAATACAATTTCATGAAGAATATTTGGTGGAGAGCGGTCTATTACTGAGTGAACCGTTCTCATAAGAACAGAGAAGCCTTCATTATGGAACACTATAATGACTGAGGTTGATGGCAATTCTTCAGGATAATGCCAATATTTACACTCATCCAATCTTGTATCAGGTACAGTTCTATGAAACAAATATAAATAAAACAATTTACTAAATATAAATCAAATCTAATTTGATACTGTTCATTATACACAAAAGATGTTACCCTATGATTACAACCAAAGTGTAAAATCAAAAACAACAAGTAAATAAGTGATGATCAAGATTTCTGTTTAATGAAAGTCATTTAATGCTATATTGTATGAGTCAAATAATAATTTTGATCAAACCGGTTCATTGCTATATCATCCGATGCAGCAATATTCATCCCATAGTCACTCTCAGACTCGGCAATGTCGTTTGCCCTGTCCTGAGACATGTGATAGGGCTCCCCACCCTCACCAGGCCCTTTCACATTCTTCTTTATTTTAGGCTCAAAATTTCCTAGCTCTAAAATGTTTAAATATAAATCAGAAATAAACAGATGTCCATTTTAGATGATTTTATCAAAATAATAACTTTTGAACACTGCAGAAAAATATTAGCTATTAATTTATACAATGAAAAAAAGGAATTTAGCTCTGAACATTTTTAATAACTATATGAACAATTTTGATACTTAAAATTTATTGTGATATCCTTTCAATTAGATTATACATATGAAACAAGTTTTTACTGATAATGATTACTAGGAAACATTGAAATTGATATTATATAAATAAAATAATAACAAAGAAATAACTATTATAATTTCGTTCAACTGAGAATAATCATAGAAATATTTATTAAGATATTGCTCGTATTATGAATTGGTGACAAAACATAAGACGCCGGTCTAGGCCATATAACTGTACTTATTTTTTAGAACATGGTGTTGTTAATATTTTTACATACAGCTTACCCGTTTTTAAAGTGGGGTATACATTCTTGTGAGATTTGTAATACCCAGCAGCAGAATTTATATCCAATATCTCATCAGAATCACTTGAAACGTTCGCTTGAACGTATTTATGAAGAGCATACAATACCATTACTAGAATTGCGCATAAGCTAACCACACGATAAATTCTTCCACGTCTTACGTTAGTAATTCTCATTTTTGAAAATATTAATTTTACCGCATAACAAAGAAAACTTATATTTAATATTATTTTTTATTTTTAAATATAGCCACGAAAGCCGATTTTGAAAGTACAAGCACAAACTTCGGTGACGTTTGTAAACCAGTTGACTATGGCATTTATATTACAGATCACTAATGTAAGTTACTAAATTTACACTATGGTAATGAAAAAGGTGTGCTAGCCTCTTTTATCTTCTATTAATTTAATTATAACTCTACATTGTTTAGGTGTTTTAATTGAATTGTAAATGTTTTTATTGTCACTCGATAGTTATGATTTTAGTTACATCATGTAGGCAAAAATCAAATACAGTATTATATATGTATGTGTATATATTATATGTGCAGAATACATTTTTATCTGTGACTTATACTTTATAGTTTATGTAATGTGGCCTAAAGGTCTAGATACCAGGCCATAAACTCCAAAAAAAAAAAAAAAAAGTTTATGTAATGAACTATAATGCATTTTAAAAATTTAAAGTTCGTTTGAGACGTTAAAACTTATAAAATATAAAAGTTCAAAAATTAAACGAGTCGTTGTTGCTGATTTGTATTTTTGTGATGTTTATATTAAAAACACAATTAAAATAGGATTAAAGAGGAATAAAGTTAGAAAATCTTATCATTTTGTTATTTTACTGCAAAATTTGTTTTATTTTGTGTATTACTAGTGTTCGATACCGTGTTGCTGTAAATATCGAAAACATGGATCAACGTAAGTTTCATGAATGTTTTGTATATTATGTAATTTATTACTCTTTTTATATTCAAGTTATGTTTCAAATACTCTTTTACAGCTTTTACCTATGACAAGTTTATTGAGATGTGGAATACAATGTTTCCTGCGAATACTATAACAGCTAATGATTTGAAACAACCTCAATCTGTTGTTAACTGCCTCTTATTAATGTTAAAAAGATTAGATATTGATTTAGAAGTGCTGGTAAAGGTAAGAGTTTTGAAATTTTGATATCTTAACATAGATTTTTAGTGTACATAGGTCACAAGGACAATCGGCTATAATAGTTATTATTCTTTTTTCGTTATTTTTAGGAAATTTATTTCAGTTATAAATTTATAGTATTGTAGTTGAGTTGGAGTTTATAAAATAATTAAAATTTCATGATTAGACACTCTTCAATATTAATACAGACTAATAATTCTTATTATTTCCAGCCACCTCCTGAAGAAGAGAGAACTGAAAACACTAATTATTATTGGGATCTAATACCAATAATTAATTTAACAAAGATAATTAACTATATAACAATCAAGCCTCAAACATTGCAAACTGATGTCACTCTATCATCTATTTTGCAACCAACACCAAAAACATCAGGCGCATTACTTATGTATCTTTTTAATTATATGTTATTTATTGAGCAACAGGTGGATACATTACAGCCATATGAAGATGAAATTTTAGGGAATCAAGAAAAGGTATCTGTTTTTCCATTTCGAAATCTTATTCTATATACATATAACATCATGTTTAATACTAAAATAGTAATAATACCTATAATATAATACGTTTCAGATTTCACGCTTGCAGGATTATCGAAAAGAAGTTTTACACAGTCTTAACAATCAATGTATGCAGAAGGGAGAGAGAGAGCAGAAAATTCAAGAGGTTCAATGCATTTGTATTCTCAGTTCACTTCAGTTATTTTCTAATTCAAACATATAACTATATTTTTTTTAATAAAAACTAAGCAGGCATATATTAACCCAATTTTCGCAGATGGAAATAGAAATAGTGGCTTTAGAAGAAGAATTAAGAAGAGAAAAGGCAGCTCTTAACTCTGAGAGCATTGAAATCCAGCCAATATTACAGAAAAACCAGAAAGAGCAGAAAATTGTTGAACAACTAACATCTCAGAGAGATGCGTTAGTTGTTGATATAAAAAAATGCAAAGCACAAATAGTACTCGATGCCGATGATATTAAGGAGCAAGAGGAAAAGATGGCTCAAGAAATGGCAGATGCTGAGAAATTGTGTAATACTCAGTCTGAAGCACTCACGCAAAAAGAAAACAGACTGATGAATTTGCAGACAATCAAACAGATATTTGAAAGTGCAAATGAGTGCTTGCATGAGATTATGGAAATCGTGGAAAGCTTGAGGTGAGTATATATACTGCTCAAAACAATTAGCGGAACAAGATTTTTCTCCTTTCTATTGATTAAACTAAAATTAGATTTAAATTAACTTGTACGCTATTTTTTACCTTGTTAATTTGTAAATTAATAAAAAAATCAATTTGTATTTTTTTTATTAAAAAAAAATTAAAATGTGCATTGTAGACGAAAAACAAAGTGACGTCTTTGAATTTTCATTACTTTCTAATCACAGAAAACACATTTTAAGTAGTTTTTTTCAATCTTTTGAGTATTAATAGAAATTGAAGTGAGCCTTTTGAGTATTTTTATTCATTGAAGCGAGTGAGTTTAGGTCATAATGCCAGATCTGACTGAATTGCATGTCTCCCGAGCTATCGCTTTGCTTGAAGAGGGTCGAACTATGCGTTATGTAGGAAATAATCTAGGAGTAGCCCCTTCTGTTATCTACAGACTTTGGAAGCGATACCGTGAGACGGGAGAATACTCACGAAGGCGTGGTCAAGGTCGAAAGAGAAAAACTACACGTTTGCAAGATCGCTACATCGTCAACTGTGCTTTACGTAACCGCACCACAACTGCAAGAGATCTACAAAATACACTAAGGACTGCTACTGGTGTAGAAATTTCCGACCAGACGGTAAGAAATAGGTTGTTGGAAGCCAATTTGAGATCACGCCGACCAGTTCGGGCTGTGCGTCTAACAATTCAACATAGACAAGCTCGCCGACAGTTCGCGCAAAATGACGCTAATTGGCAACTTCGACATTGGAGGCCAGTGCTTTTTACTGACGAATCACGATTCCGTCTAACACATTGCGATGGTCGTCTCCGTGTTTGCAGACGCCCAGGCGAGCGATACAGTGCAGCAGCAGTCCAGGAATATGACAAATTTGGATGTGGCTCTGTGATGGTTTGGGGCGGAGTTAGTTTGGACGAGCGCACAGATCTCGTCGTTGTTCCCGGGCGCTTGTGTGTTCAAACTTACATTGAAAATGTGCTCGAAGATCATGTTTGGCCCGCAGCATATGGTATGGGCCCAGATTTTCTTTTAATGCAAGATAATGCTAGGCCGCATACTGCAGCCATCACGTCAGATTACTTACGACAGCAGGAAATCCGTGTAATGGGGTGGCCTTCCATGAGCCCTGACCTAAATCCAATTGAACACATTTGGGACTTGCTTGACAGGCGCATCCGGAAGCGTCCGATTGCACCTCAAACACTGCAGCAGCTCACTGAAGCGTTGATTGAAGAATGGGAGCGAATTCCACAAGAAGATATTCGGAGGATCATACGAAGCATGCCGCGTCGTTGTCAAGCCGTGATTAGGGCTCATGGAGGCCACACACGTTACTGAAAGTCACTAAAGACGAATATTCAAACGATATAAGAATATTTCTTTGATGGACCTTTTTTATCACCAATTAGTTTTTCGTCTACAATGCACATTTTAATTTTTTTTAATAAAAAAAATACAAATTGAATTTTTTTATTAATTGTAGTAATTAACAAATTAACAAGGTAAAAAGTAGCGTACACGTTAATTTAAATCTAATTTTAGTTTAAGCAATAGAAAGGAGAAAAATCTTGTTCCGCTAATTGTTTTGAGCAGTATATTTACACAATTGCTTTTTAAACAAAATGTATTTTGACAATTAAAATAAATTAGAGATGGCTCTCAGTTCAACAAACATAATTTATGTATTACATAACCATAAGCATTTTCATTACAGGGAATCTGAAAAGAGTGATGCAGATGGGGAAGAAGGAGAACTAAAGATGTTGAACACAGAATTGTCGGAGCTGATGTCTCAGCTCTCTGAAATATCTGTGGCAAGGCGCGACGCGAGAAACAAGAGACAAAACGATCACGACTTGAGGCAACAGATTATGGCTTTCATGGAGAGGTCAATTCAACTGCTTGTTATTTCCCGAGTTCAATAAAGAGATATCCTTATCGTTACTAAGTCTAGGCAATCTCCTATTCACCTTAACTAACTCATAGTTAACATCTACAATTATATATTTTCTAAATTATAGGGAAGTGCATGGCCTCAATAAGAGAAGAATAGAATGGAAGGAGAAGGCACAGAAAGAGATGTCACAATTTAAGAAGATAGAAGAGGATATGGCAAACGAGAAACAGAATGAATCCTTATATCAGCAAGAACCGGCTAACATCAAAGAGCAGTTAATAAAACAAGTATGTCTTGTAATAAATTATTTTAAAAGCTAAATATTAAAACTTTTTATCAGATTTAATTAATATTTTTGAGTTTTAAGTATAACCAGTAGTCGTGGTCGGTTGGAGAATGGCTTTTTTTGATATTATGATGAGAGCCCATTGAATTGTTGCCATTTTCACTTCATCTTTTGCAATTATATTATTATTTTGTTAGGTATATGCCCAAATTATTTTAAACATTCAATTTTTATTTCAGATCACATCACTTTCTGAAGAATTAATGGAAGCGTTGAAGACCTTTGGAGTTGAAATTAAATCTAAGTTTACATGAAATTCACATACGAGTTATTTATTAGGTTTCCTTGTATAATAAATAAATGATAATATATAATACATCTATAAATGTATTGATATACATTTTAATCGACATTAATTCAGAGTACTATTAGGGTTTTATATAATTGCTAATAAATCAGTCAGAAGACTGATTGCACGATGCGCTCTATAAAAAATAAAAAAAGTTACTGCTTGCTAAGGACTAGGTAGAACGAAAGCAATGTATGTTTCGATAGTTCCTAAAACGCAAACGACTGCGGCCCTAGTTGGCCCAATTACCAACTGCATCTACCTTTGTATAGCATAAACGAATTAAGGGCTCCCACACAAAACTGCGATGCGAATTCGCATCGCAGGAATTTGCGATGCGAATTTCTGCGATACGATTTCGTGCGGCAAACCATTGGGTAGGGCGACCATTCCTTCGTAGTCAGCCGTACTGGACGTGTTTTTAGGAAGCGTAAGATGGATCTCAAAAAGATTATTGCACTGCTGTTATTGTTAAATAGATATAAAAGAAAAAGATCGCAGCTAGAAAAATTCTGCGACAAGATTGTCAGATATGTCACTCACAAAAATAGCACGAGAGGTAACGCGGGTGTTGCCGGGCAGCGGGCCCCGACTCACCTATAAATATTATGACGATATTTTATTTATTATTATTTTATAATGTCCCTTTTTAAGAAAGGGGAGATTCTGACACTCCCCTGCTGCTTGGCCACTCGGTCACAAATCTGCCTGATTGCGTGGCTGATAGGCTAGGATGTAGGGGTCCCTGTATTAAAAAAAAAAAGAAGATTCTGGGTTCATCCATTTATTACGATTATGAACTCTGATGCAAACTTTCACAGACGCTCTTCCACGCATCTTGCTTAATAAATTTATATTTATAATGTTCATCACTTGTGTCCCAAAGGAAGGGACGCTCCTCAATTAAAAATATTAAAAAATCCATATCATATTCCGGAATTTTTTATAAACAAAGAAGGTGGCGGAGGCGCCGCGCGTCCGTCTCTAAAGCTGTCTCAGAGCGGACTAAAATGGCGTCACCAAGGATGACGTAATATCGCAAGAATGTGCGATGCGAAGCAGATCGGAAAATCTTGCGGTGCGTTCGTGCGAATTCGCAGATATTTGCGATGCGATGCGAATTCGCAGTTTTGTGTGGGATCCCTTAAAACGAACGACATGACCTCGTGACTCAAACCAGTAAACGGCGACGAGATTACTATAACTACGTTGTGTGGGCCCGTTAAATAATTATTTCAAACCTGATAAGTTTTGACTATGATTCACCCGCAAGCCTAGCAAAAAAATCACGGTAAACCGCATGTATCATGGTAAACTCCAAAGCGAAATTAGAGAATTATCACTAAATTCAAAGCCCTCGTTAAACGTAAATTAATAAAGCTTTTTATGAATTTGACGAATATTTAAATGATCCTAATCTTTGTGATTGAATTGCTCCAGTTCAAACAATTTTTATGACTCAAAACTTAGCGATTAAAAAGAGTGGCGGAGAGTTTCTTGTCAGTGCTTCTTGCCCGCCCTACGCCCTTGACTTGCGAACTGGTAGTAAATGTAAATTATTAAGAATCAATTTAACATCTTTTTTGTTGACGTTGATAAGTGTACTTGGTTAACTATATGAATAAAGTTAGTTTGAGTTTAATGTAAGTAATGCCGTTAATTTTTTCGGATTTGCCGAGACGTTCCTACCAAGATAAAACACGCGAATGTTGTATGCATTACACGTTCTCAATTCATCCATGAGACGATGAATCATTCAAGGTAATAATAAACTTTGGGGACTTCACCATGTAAACACACACTAATATACGATTGTTTATGACCTCCCTGAGTTTTCACTTTTCTGGCACAAAATAGCACATAATTACCTTACTAAATACAGTGTAAAAAACACAAGTGTTGTTGTTAAATTTAAAGAAGAAAAATCTGTATTAGAAAAAGTTTATTTCAGACTAGAGTTAGTAATTACATAAACAATAATTCTTATTTGAACGCTATTTCATATAGTCTTATTTTCGTCCGACGTCTTTTGCTGCACCAATAATTATGTTGTATTTTTTTATTCATTTTGCGATATTGAGGCATCTTCGTGATAAAGCACGTGCAAGCAATCCCAATTTGTAAACGATTGATTTTCTTACATCACACATCTCACATACCAATCTTTCTTAGAAATATTGTTATGTGAGATGCAGACAGTCGAGTTTATTACGGGCTAGGACAATAAAGCGACAAAAGAACGTTAACAGCTCCGGAGTTTTAAATAATTTTAATAACTTAAAAAGTACATTTTATTATTTAATTGTTGTTATTGATGGCGGGTGTAATGCTATGTAGAGTGTATCATTGTATGGAAGAGAAGCTAAACCCATCAAAGCCGAATGATTTCGACGCTTTAGGGGGTTTGTGGTAAAATCTAGGGTCGTTACATGGAATTTACACTGTACTAATGATCGTATGATTAATAGTTTTCATTAATATACTTTGTAATCTTGCAATGGGGCCTTTTTTGTGGGGAAATGCGTTAAGCAGGGTCCACACTATGCCGCGGTAGGCCGGGCGGGTTGACCCGGGTGGGCTAAGCCGGGCGGGTACGTTCGGGCCGGCACGACGTCCACACTGAAAACGAAGCCAACCGGGCTATTTCTACCTACATTATTTAGTTTCAACACCAAGACTGGTGATTTAGTTGAAGAGTACTTAAAATGAACAATAAAAAACCCTACTTAAACAAACTGAATCGAACATAAAATTATTCGTAAACCCCGGCATAGTGTGGCCCCTGCTTTACGCATACCCTCCCGCGGCACGACTGCCTTGTGGTGGAGGGTTATGTGGCACTCGGTACTGCGCAATTGTGCATACCCCCCAAAACCCCACGGCGTCACCAGCAATCACACGAGGCCGGACACGGTAACAGCGTAGCTTAGTCCGCATTGCAATGAGGCCTGGGTCAGCCCTATGAAGCTGAAGAGTTTGTATGGTTGACCGCGCTATTCTCAGAAACTACTAGTTAGAAATGTAAAATGCTGTAAATCTAGAAAGTATATAAAACAGCTAAATTTAATAAACGTATAAAAAATGAGTTTTAGATGATAGAATTCAAATTAAGTCTTAAAACAAGACTAGTATGTGGGACAAACGTGACATCATAATGTTTTATTTAATCCATCGTTGACACGATGCGTCTGGCTTTTATGAAACTCGAGATTAAATTCAAGAAAGTAATGTACTGCCGCCCGTTGGTAAACGGACGTAGAAGAATTGTGTGCTTATGTATGTATAATAATAACCTGTTTCGTTCAGATTATATAATATGTAGTTTTAGTTAGAGTTAGTAACTGCTCGGTCTTAGTATAAATAAACAAAGGGTTTTTTGAAGTTATACTTCTTTAGGCGCGTTATGAAAAATTTATGAGAGTGAAATTTTACGATGCGCGCGCACCGTGACACAAAATTAGGAGTGTGATTATAGCGTGCGCGAGCGAGATAGGAATAAGACAATCTACAAGTAAAAAGAAATAGAATATGCGTGAAGTTCGTATGCCAAGAATTTTGAATGACCATAATGACATTTGTCATTTACCTTTTAAACAAATAAAGGAGTTTTAATTATTTTTTCAAAGAAATTTAGCAATGCTTTTTGAATTATATATAATCAGAAGTGATTTAAATTGAATATTTAAACCAATACTAATTAATATTTGTGAAAAAACTGTGCTCATCAACCTTCCTAAGTGCTTCATTACAATTGAGGTTAACTATCAGTTTGTATTATTATTATCGAGTAATGTTTTGATTAAAAAAATTACCACATTGTTTAATCAAAACATGTAATTTTTCTCTAGCAAATATAAGGACAAGAGACAAAAAACAATTGATGAATCAGTGTAAGTGCACTAAATTGAATACAAAAAAAGAGTTGTCATCTTATCGCTGTGAAACATCAAAAACTGGAGGTGGAACAAAGCCAAACTATTTTTAATAATGCCAAAGAAGTACCTATAACTTCTTACGCGCGTACATAAGTACACGCACCCTTTTTTTTTAATAAGAAACCCCTTTTGTATACTCTGTAATTGACTCGTTTGTGTAGATAATACACGTATCGATGAGTTCAGCGTCAAAGACCTCTAGAAATACGATGAGGTGGAAAACGTCTCGTGTAAGGCAAGCTGAATACGAAGCCCAAAAACGCTTGATCGCATTGGAAAAAGAATATTTAAGAAAAATGTTCGAATTAAAGAAGCAGGAGATGGAGCTTGAAATAAAATTGTTAAAGAAGCGAATCACCGTTGATTCAGCCAGAGCAGACAGTGAACAGAGTATCGTCAATCGCTTGCCAGAACAGAGGAACGGGAGCAATTCCACTGTTATGGTAGAAAAACAGCTAAGAAAGCATAGCGGCGAGAATAATCTATCTCAGGGTGATAGGGGAGAAGACACAGTGCTCGCAGAACGCGCCATGCAAACAGAATGTGTCTTGGGAAATAGAACGTCCTATACCACCTATCGAAAAAGGCCTCCGTGCCGAGAACGCGATCCTACGATCGAAGGATGGAACGGCTTATCGGAGCCTTTTAAAAAATAGCTACAAACAGACCCCCTGTACGACAAGCTCAAGATCTGCCGCAGTTTCATATTACGGTGAATGCTTCTGTTTTATCCACTTATAGGTGGTACGTACCTATATAAAAATATGAAATTCAAAGGTTGATAAAGTAAATTTAATATAACTTTTACTAACTTTATTTAATAAAGGTTAGTTTTGCGAGTAAGCCTAATGTCGAAGTAAGTATAAACGCTTTTTACATTTATTTTTATTGACACACACAAATTTTTTGCTTAAGTGTTACTACTGGTCGCTTTATTACCGTTATAATCGAGTGTTCTGACTTCACAGATACAACGGACAATTAAAACAAAGTATTTACACTTCCATTATGTTGTAAAGAAATCGTTCTTTCAAAGCGCAAGCAGGTTTAGTATTAACTTAGTTTATTTTTACCTTTGTACAACGCAAAAACAATTTTCAATTCAGGTTTTGTAATATTCACTTTTATACCTGTTTCATTTTATCTTAAGTAATATTGCCCCCTCGTTAAGCAAATCTTATCGCTTAATGACCTAAGCGTTATCAATGCATTACAAAATTATTGTTATATGCGAATCGATAAGTTAACTTACCTTTAAGAAAGTTTTATGTAAGTACATGTGAACATTGCTTACCTCATTAATTCCTAATAAATAATCATACTAACATCATGAATAAACGAAAATCTATGAATAAATAATACTTAAAATGGGAATTAAAATGTATACTGTACCAACGAAATAGATAAACGCTATTATTATATATAACGTTTTACGTACGTGCACATATTAACGTCATGCAGTTTCTCTATATTACGCTTGCTTTTATAAAACAATACAGTTTACTATAAATGAAACAATATTATCCATAACTAGCTGTTAGTTTCGGCTAGACTGAACAAATAGATTATTTTCCTTTGTGTAAACAAAATACTTCAATAAGTGAGAAATCTGAAGATTTGTCCTGTGCATTAACTGTTACGGGTTGGTGATGACTGATGACGCTTAAAAGAACAGTAAAACGGACTCAGAATGGGTTTAGTGATATAGAGTTCATAAGGTCAACGAGAATATAAAACCGCAAAGTTATCTACATTATTGATAAATATGTTGGGAATTCCCTGTGAATAATGAGTTATGAGGGCTGAATACTTGAATTGGATAATTAAATTATGCTAATTATACATATTTACTTGGGGTGTAATGAATAGGCCATGTTGTATGAAGGTTTACTAAATCCACCTTAAAGAAAACGAATTTTCAATTGGTTTAGTAGGTTCTTAGAAAAAATAAGTCTTAACAATAAAACATCGACTTCGTACTCTTCCCTTATTATTATTTTATTTTATCCTTCCCTTATATTATTAGAGATTATTGACCCCCCCCCATGTAACGTGCCGTAACGTTTTGCTGTACTCGATAGTAAAACGTTTCGTGACCACCCAGTGACTCTTTATACCTAAAAGCTACCATTATGTGCAAAGTACCGGAAAGTTCCCCGCCCCGCATCGTAACGTTTTACAAAACGACCCCCCCACAAAATTCGTTACGTAATACTTGAACGCTTGGTACGCTTTTATATTTTGTGGAAAAAGGCCTACTAAAAATTATACATTATTTATAATAGTCTGGTCAGCGCTATCGACATTAATTACACGTACGATAAGCCCAAGGAATCCCCTTTTACGTTAACATCCCAGAGCGTGGTATATATACCTCCATACATTGCTTATTCTTCATACGCCTTAGGTCAACAGTAGAGAACACAAGTATGAAGTTAGCAGTATTCATTTTTGCACTTGCTGCTCTGTTCGGAGCAGAAGCCATTACGTTTACAAGATGTCAATTGGTTCACGAATTAAGGAATCAAGGCTTTCCAGAGAATAAACTGAGGGATTGTAAGTAATTTTTCTTATTTTTTAACATAATTTGCGAATATCTTGGCCTCAGATATCGTTATCTGTTTCGTGATTATTATTTTGTTCCGAGCTTCTCACGATAGACCTTTTTTTTTCAATAATAACTAATAAAAACATCTTGTTTAGTTTAGTATAATAGTTATTTAAAATATAGCAGTGAAATTAGTATGCTGTAAACAAATTATTCTATCTCTTTTTCATACCCTCTTTACTGTATAAAACTTAATGATAATAATCTATGTTATGATTTATTTATTAAAGTTTACCACATCATACATTACATTACTAAATCTACGGCATATTTTACAAAATCTTCCATCTAAAATGTATGACAATTAAATATATACAAGATAAAATAAGCATACAAAAAGTTACCAGAAATTTTTGGTAAAGCAGAAAAAAATCATATAATCATATCCAGCTCCGGGTAAGCACCATTCAATCCGTTAAAATCGCGAAGAATTCGAAAGAGAGGTGCCTGAACTCCTAGGATGGTTTTTGCAGAAGGAGTTTGGAAAATTTTGCAAATTTTATACCTAGGGACTGAGTAAGGGACGACAATTTTAATATCCTGTAAGAGGTCACTGCTCTGTATATGATTATTTAGCAATTTATATAAGAAGGTAACACCGGCTAAAGTTCTCCGATCGTACAGTGATATCATATTAAATATGTCAAATATTAATCGATCTAATGTATGCTTTAGGGGTGTGTCTGGTTGAAAACGAGAGTAGCCGTAACACAGCCAAAGTGGGAAGAGTGAACAAGAATGGTTCCAGGGACTACGGTCTCTTCCAGATCAACGACAAGTACTGGTGCAGCAATACGAACACTGCCGGAAAAGACTGCAATGTCACCTGTGCGCGTAAGTGGCATTACTACCTACATTTAACAATAATAATTGCCTTTTCATGCCATTTCTGCCGACTATTTTGAGGGCCATCCACACAAAAAAAATTGACTACCCAGATACCCAGATATTCCAGTCATTCAAACCCTCATTCCCATAAACCAATCGCCCGAAGAGCGTTGGATGTTGTGGAGTGAACCTAGCCCAGGCACTACCTATATATGTGTAGAAGGTAGTCCATGTTGCTCTGATAAATGTAATTGATCATATTAATATAGGATCACTAAAACGTGTAAGACGGAGAGAGACGAGACTCGTTCTCTCTCAATATTGCCATTATTCTTAAGGTCGAGAGATAGGACGTGACCAATATTAAAACCTTCATCTACCTAAGTCTTCTATCACCTAAGGCCCTTTCTCCACTGCTCCGGTCCGACGTCGGATACCGGAATGAGTCATGAGAAAAATATCGGAAGGCCGGATTGCGCTTCTCCACTATATCCGATCCGACAATAATCGATACTTGTGTATTTATCATGCAACACTTATTAACTAAAACCGATATACTTAATTTTATTAATAAACGTTCTAAATTCTGAATATTTTATTGCCCTGGCTAGTTATTACTTTTTTATATTGTCTATCTTGAAATATTATAATCTACTTAATAAATAATTCACTAATACTATGGTATAAAAATATAAATAAATTGCAACATAATTTGGTTTGGTCCAGGTTATCCAGATTCATTCAAATTAAAGAAACTATAAATAGACCTGTGAATAATAATTTATAACCTCTTGGATATACTTGGACCGATAAAACACTGCGTTCCGATCTAGCATGTTATCGGATCGTTAAAAACCGGATGCCGGAGTAGTGGAGAAGTACGTAAGTACTGTTGTGAGTTTCTAAATCGGATCGGTAATTAACGTTTGCCGGACCGGAGCAGTGGATACGGCCTAAGTCTCATTTCTTAGTGACTCCGTAACATGCAGTTGTTAATTAAAAACGCAGTAATCTACTCTTCCTCCTTGACTAAAAAACCATCATTTTGCTTTTTTGGCATGTTTATGACACGAAACATAATATATCGATTTGTTCGGTATTGGTAGGATTGGATTTATTTGTACCTTTTAATAGTTTCTTATGCTTTTACGACTTTGACTCATTAAAGGAAAGGAAATTTAACTTCTGCAAATTTGCGAGAATAAGCTATGCTAGTCAATAACTTAACTGATAGATATTGATAAACATCCCTTTAGGCGCTATTTCTGCATTGGCACGGAATTTGCTCAGTATTTTGTATAAGAAGTAGTTCATCAACATAACTTTGCTTTCCTTAATGGTTAATGTTCCGATCTAACTGGCGATACTTTAAATAATGTCATTATAAATCGCTTTCCAGAGGTGACAACGGACGACATCACAAAAGCTGCAACCTGCGCCAAAAAGATCTTCAAGCGCCATGGATTCAACGCGTGGTATGGTTGGAAGAACCACTGCCAAGGCTCTCTCCCTGACATAAGTTCTTGTTAAAATTTCTACACAATATTTTATAAGACTACGATCTTAAACAATATTGTGCAATAATATATGTTAGTTTTTCTTAATTAAATTAAAAATAATTATATCAGATTTTTTGACGTTTTACTTCTTTCTTATTTTTTGTATAAATTTCTTATAAATAGCATTTTTGTTTACACCTTACAGCTGTCATATATAAAGACTACTAATTTTAAAAACTACTAGACCGAGTTTATCTATAAATAACATAGGTCCAGGCCAGAAAGAGTTTCGTAATATAATAATTATTGTAAATCAATCTTTGTCAGTCAGTGTCACCTCGCAAATTTTTTGTCTTTTATTGGAAAGGTGAAGGATAAAAAAATCAACCTGCCAATCAACAAATTGATGTCAATTAGGTAATTGACAGTCATGCAGGTGAATAAGTATGGACGAAAATATTTCGGTGTTCGTGGACCTTTGATATCCTTAATAATCGAAGTATTGCAATCTATAATTTAACATGTAGGGAATCTCTTAGAGATAAATTCAAGGAAATTAATATACTTACCTTTCCCTCGCAATATATTTATGAAAATATTATGTATGTATACAAAAATAGTGATAAGTTTACTAGAATAGAACATACGCACAATGTTAATACACGGAACAAACGCAGGCTGCAATTTCCCCGTACAAGACTATCTAAAGTTAGTAATTCTTTTTAGGGGAAAGGGATACTCTTCTTTAATAAAATCCCAGAGGCTCTTTTATCTCTGCCTTACAATAAATTTAAGAAATGTATTAAAGAAAAGCTGTGTAAAAAGGCTTACTATAAAGTCAACGATTATCTAGTTGATAAAAGGGCCTGGGACTAGTGCTAGACAGGCTACTTCTAATTAATTTGCGATATTTGTTTTAAAATAAGTGTTGTTTGATGATTTGCTATTTTAAAAGAGTACCGAGAGTTTTTTACGCCGGATTTTTCTCTCGGCCTACACCCTCTGACTTCTTTGCCGATGAGTAGGGATGCCTACAAGTCAAATTTAATGACGTGGAAAAAGTGATACATGTATCTTATGTTCCATAATAAACATATTATATTTTTTATTTTTATTTTTATTTTATTTTGTAAAAAGTTATAAAAGTCCAGTGTCGCTACAACCTTATAAATCTAATTTGATAATTTTCTTATATATATAAACAAGTTTGTGAACCTTCTGTATCTGAAAATTGCTATCGATTATTGGCTCTAAGACATGCTTTCTTTAATATGTTACCTTCACCCTCCGAGCAAAATTTAATTATTTTTTTCAATGTACGCAACATTTAAAAATTCATTTGCGATTTGAAAGCACAACCTTAGGATTAAGAGTCGGATGCTAAACTCCTGCTCTCTGTTGAGTTTTTGCTCAAGTTTCCTTCAAAATTCATTAAACAGCTATTTTACATATGAATTTTTGATCATAACAGGAAAACATTGAATAAATCTAATACAAGCTTAATTACCTTATTCCGTCTTCTTAATATGACAATAATTTTATTTCCGATTAATTTAGACTACAGTATTTTTATTAATATAATTTATATAAAAACATACGTATCATACACCTATCAAATATAAGTTTGTATAAAAAAATTATTTTTAGTTTAAATATCTAAAAACTTAGATATTAAAACAAAAATCAATTAGCACGCTCATAAGACAAGAAACATTTTGAAAATATAATTCAGATTAAATTATATACAATTATTGTCATCATATAAAACATTTTTTAATATAAGCGCATGCAGCACATCAGTAGACAAAACAAACAATAAAATCTTTAAGATATTATTAATGTCGTTTTTGTATTAATTAACATAAAATATTGAGAATAATATAAGTTATCTTTCGATGTGATCTATATGTCGCAGCCAACTAGCTTAATTAGCCTTTCAATCAATAGCCTAGCCTCTTAACTAAACAACGCCGTTTAAATAACGGTCTGAAAGATATTAAGCTAGTTGATAAAACAGCTAGGCAAATGGCTTGAATTTATGACGTTTCATTACTTGCCTAGACAGTTGACTGTTAATTTAAACTTAGCTCCACTTTCTGCCACCTTCTGCTAGGCTAGCGTCGAAACAACAAAACACTAAAACTGTCAATCCTCATCTTTGATGGTGTTTTCCAAAGTTTTATGAAAAATTACAAGTACAATGGAAGAGTGTAGTGACAATAATAATGTGAATTTAGCTATGACTCGAGCAATTTAATTTTAAAAGAAATATTTTTTTATGTCAGATGTTTCATATTCTGTCACATGATCACTATCGTACACCCTAAGCATTAGCCAGCCAGTTTATTAAATGTTATAACAAACACTACGGCTGAATATCTTTTAGGCCGCTAGTTAAACGGCGCTGTTTAGTTAAAAGGCTAGGCTGTTAATTGGACGGCTAATTAAGCAAGTCGGCTGCGACATATATATTTAAATTTAATGTATTTTTATTTTATTTAAGTTTTAAATCGCATATATTTAAATTATTACTTAGATAATATAATGAAATACAACTCTCAAATGTACCTATATATTTTACAAAAAGTTTAGTTTGACAATTGACACACGTAAGACAAACGAACAAAGTATATCAGACGAAAACTCGTCAATATTTCAGGTTCAAGTTCTAATAGTATAAAACCACTAAATAAAATATATTATTTTTATTTATATTACGATTTTTGAATGAGTGTTATTATATTATAAGATAATTTTATTTTTATCTTTAATCAAGTGTAAAAATCATACAAATTTTCTAAGTCTTGTTTATGACTTTGCAACAAAATTATGACGCTTATTTTTACTCCCTGTTACGTACTGAATATAGTTATCCTCATGCGCAACGTCATACAACGGTTTATTTTTTCCGAATCTGGACTATATAAGACAGTTGAATCCACAAAAGTCGTACACTTTACTTCTCAACAGAAGCGTATTTTATTGCAAAATGAAATTATTTTTATTTACAACTTTTTCTGTCTTAATTTTGGTTTCCGCTCGAGAATTTTCGACATGTGAATTAGTGAGACAATTGAGACACCATGGTTTTCCTGAAAGCAAAATGCGGGATTGTGAGTATATTTTGTAAGTTTTTAACTTTTTACCTTAAGTTCTAAGAGCTTTGGACTTCCAGAGGTGAGTTATAGTCCTCACCTAAGGATGTCCTATAGCTGAATAAGTTTTAGTTTACGTCGAGTTAGTCGCAGCGATAATTTGTATTTATTGTATTATGGTATGAAGAATGAAGTTTAGTTTTAATTTGTAATTCGAAAATCCTTTTTTTATAAAAATCTTGAATAATTGTTATACTGTAATTTAATTTGTAGTTAATCTAATAATAGTGGAAAAAAGGATAAGATAATATAAAATATATTATGCATTTTGACATTGTTGCATTATTAATGTGCCATCAAAATACCAATGTATTATTTTCAGTAATTACTTAGAATTTGAAATGCTCTGAATTATGCAAAACATACAGAACGAAAGGACTTACACAAATATTGTTACACCATAATATTAATTCCATTTATTTGTGCTTTATTGCTATAAAAATTAAGTGCCAATCCAACAAGCAACTATAAAAATTTTGATATATGAAAAGTGTTGGCTTAGTGGATTCAGCGTGCCACTGTCATCCTTGAGGTCGTTGGTTCGATCTCCCGGCTGTGCACCAATAGACTTCTATGTGCGCTTTTAACATTCGCTCGAACGATGAAGGAAAACATCGTAAAGAAACCGGCTTGCGGCTTGGTAATGTTGTTTTATTTGAATGAATATTTTTTATTTGCTCAGGGGTTTGTTTAATCGAAAAAGAGAGCGGTCGAAGAAATGATGTCATCGGTATGATGAATGCAGATGGCTCCTGGGACCACGGCTTGTTTCAGATAAATGATCGCTATTGGTGCAACAGAAGTAACTGGCCTGGTAAAGAATGCCATGTCACCTGTGATCGTGAGTAGACCTCGAATTTATTTAGAAAAGAAATCAGTGGCGTACCCTTGCTCTTGGCTCCAGATAACATGTTTGTTTCAAATAGGCAAGTAGATAATCAGGCTCTGTGCATTACATACGCCGTTGACGCTTCGTCGTCTAAAGCATGGCGTTAAGCTAATAAAAATTCGTAATATAAACTGTGTTTAGATATACTCTCTCTCCTTCAGTCGGTAGCTCATGTCCGAGCGACGTGGCCAGCAAGGAAACATCTGGAACGGACAATCTGTTTCCACCGGTTTCTGTCCAGCGCCTCTCTTATATCAGTGTATAGTTTTGAGCACAATGAGTCTTTCACTTGATAGGTCCATCTGGTTGGTGAAAGGCCACGTGATTTTTGCTTTCTGTTTTACCAACCACGATCAGTTTCTCCAACTCATCGCCTCTGCGCGTTGTATGTTCGAAATATAATTGTATGACTCATATTCAAATATACAATGTTTCAGAACTCAGAAGTGAAGACATAGGACCAGCAGCAAGATGTGCTAAGTTAATATTCGCCCGCCACGGTTTTTCCGCTTGGTACGCCTGGCGTGATCATTGCCAGGGCGCCCTGCCGCAGATCGGCCACTGCTAACTACAAAATATAGCCCTAATCTTTCGTGTAATTAGCTTATATAAGTGTAAAGAGTTCGTTGAAATCGTCGAGTTAACTCTGAGTGCGTCACCAATAAGATTTTAATAACAAGTCAAAGTCAAAATCATTTATTCATATAGGTAACACAATGTACACTTATAATTGTCAAAAAAATAAAAGAAAATATATATATATATGTATATGCAATGCTTCTAATTTTACATATACCGCCAGTTCTCAAATCAAGGGCGTAGAACGGAAGAGAAGCACTGGCAATAAACTCTCCGCCACTCTTTTTAATCGCCAAGCTTTTTGTTTTACACAACGTTTGTAAGGAGTTGCAACCATTACAACATGTTCCACATGACATCCTAAGTAATAATAGTTAATTAATAATAATAAAATAAATTAAAAACAAAGATTTGTCCTCTATCAGCAGGAGGCATAGTGAAATAGGAGAACACACTTACATTCTCGTGGGAACAACACGCAAATACATAGTCGACATAACTAACATCACCGCATACACGAATTAAAGTACAACCAGTCACCACAAGTAGCACCCTTTCAAGTCCCGTTACAGTCGTCTGATAAAATCAAAAACATTTAAATACTTAGATTGCTTTTGGTTTTAGCAAACATACATCATATAATGGATGTTATTACAATTAATTTGAAATAATTATTTTCGTTCGTCAGTTAATAAATATATTCTGTAACAAAAGAAGTTTTAATTAAGATACAAAACAAATATCCTTCGAGCTTAGCGTGGTTGGTCATAGGGGCTGAAACAATAGTTATTCGAGTCTACATACTGTGTGCTGGAATTCGTAATAGAACATTTTAAACGATCAGACAATAACTAGGTTATAATTGAAATTCATGTAACTTTTCTATAAAAGTAGATTCTATAGAGCAGTATTGGCCTAGTGGATTGACTGTGCTACTTTCGTCATTTATCCCTGATATACCAAGGACGAAAAAATCCAAGGACTTTTTTAGTATGTGTTATAACATTCGCTTGTACGTTGAAAGAAAACATCATGAGGAAATCGGCATGCCTTAGACTTAAAAAGTCAAAGGCGAGTGTCAGGCACAAGGCTAATGCCCTAATAATACATCAGAACTGAAAGAGCATGCCTCATAATATCTAAATGTCATCAAGCTGCAAACAGGAGTTAGATATAAATGTATTGCCTGAAGCCTCGTATTCATGGTAAACATTTGTTTAGCAACAGTTGATCAAAATTGTTGATGAGCGGCAAGAATGTTGCTGAAAACTTTGTTTAAATCAATATAAGTTGTCCACGTGCCAGTCTTCGTTTAAATGTTGCCCGAGGAAGTAGTGTTGTTGTGTTCTCTGTATTTGATGTATATGCTTTTTATTGAAACAGTTCTATTTATTGCATTATTATATAATTGCATCACACTACTGCCAGGTTTAAACGGCCGCAAACACGTCATAGTAGGGGAGCCCAAGCGGGGATTTCGGGATTTACTAAAGCGCGGCAGATTAATATACAGGGGGATACCTTGTACCCGGTTAAGTACCTCCACAAAACATGAGGCCCATATATAAGGCCGCCCGTGAAGGATACAGGATCAGATTAGTAAAAAAATCTACCATCCGAAATTCTCGAGCGCGTCAGATTAAGGTAGGGTGAGTTAATTACATCCTAAAAAATGTATATTCCACTAATCTGACAATTTGAGAGTGACGTAAAAAAAGGGGAGGGCAACAAAGTAGTAAAAAAAACGTCATCTCGACATTCTCGAGCGTAGCTAAATTTTTTTTTATGAAGGAAGGAAATAATTCAAGAATAATGAAAAATATATAATCTGACGATTTCCGCAAGCCGAAATAACAAAAATTCGTCGATAAAGTTAAATGCGTGCAGCTGCGTGATGCCTACATTTCCTTCTCCGCGTTTCTATTCCTCTCTCACTCTTTCTCTATGTATTACTCTCTCACTCCGTCCCCACTCTGGTTTCTGTTGCCATGACGCCATCACAGCTGATCATAAAGACTCGTTCGTGGCATACTGTTTATAACTTTTGAACGACTAAACCGATCAGAATCTACTAAACGGCGTTCTAAATATTTCCCTCAAAATTACATTTCCTGTGAATTTGAACCGATTCGGACCGATAGATTTTGAAAAATCTAAAAAAAATAAGTTTTTTTTTTAAAGTGGTTTTTTTGGAATAACTTTTAACCGGCTTTATCGATCAACTTCAAAAACTAATCCGCCTTTGAGCTTGAAAAACCACGTCGATCGCCACCAAGCTGGTCAAAAGCGGTTGATTCGTTCGAGAGATATCGTGAACGAAAGAAACCCGAAAAAGTGTTTTTTCGGGATTACTCCGAAATTTGTGGTTCGATCAAAATTACTTATGAGGCTGATAACCGCGTGAAAATTTCTTGATCCATTCATAAGTTATTGCGGTTTGAAAATTCCAAAAATAGTGTTCTATGAAACTTCTATCAGACTTTCGAGCTGGGAGAGCTCAAATGCATGGAAATATTATTTCTTTGAACTCAGCGAGCTCAAATTATCACATAAATTATATTTTGAGCTCAAAAATGTCATAAGTACAATTTTAAGCGCCCAGGAATGGAATTAGCGGGAAGTTGCAGGGATGGCCTTTAAGGTAAACCGTTTTTCTAATTTTTTTTGTCAGATCAGGCGAATCCCTCTAGATAATCGTCAGATTATGAGACAGTACGTTTAGAACATAAAGATGAACCATATATATCTTAATCTGACGCGCTTGAGTATTTCAAAACGGCGAATTTTTTTTGCACATTATGAAAATGGCCGCGGGTTTGCGTCCCATCGAAATCGTCAGATTAGTGAATGAGAGCTTTTTTTTGGTGCACTTAACACTCCCTAAGAAAATCTGACGCGCTCGATTACATTTTTTTTTCATTTTCAACCCTTAAATACAACCACCCGCATCATGCAAACGATCAGATTAACATACGTACATTATTAAAAATACGTAGGGCATTGATGCTATCAATATCTGACGCGCTCGAGGATGTCCATCCAACAGTTTTTTTTACATATTTAAAAATCTATAGCCGCTTCCCCCACCGATGTAAAGGTATATATCATATAACATTTTTTTCTTCTTATCATCTAAGCTTTGCATCCCAATAGGTCTCTACGACGCTCGAGTAAATCCCCATTTAGCATCGTGGGCTCCCCTACTATCAACAATTGTTGATAAACAGATGTTGCCGCTCATCGGGCGAGAACTCGTCAACGTGCCGTTGTCAACTCTGCAACACGCTGTGTTGCCAGCAAGATGTTGATTCAACATTGTTGCTAAACAAATGTTTACCTACCATGAATACGTAGCTTAAGTAGAAAAAAAAAATCTCGTAGAACAAATGTCCTCAATTAAGGCTACCCGATACGATTTAAATGATATCGTTTGCACTAAATTTCTCCACATAAACAGTGGATACCATTGATTAATTACATTCTTAACGAAGTGAGAGGGAGGTCGGATCTAGTTGCTACGCGTATAAGAGGATTACGAGGCGGGAAAGTCGAAATTGGGTTTGTCAGCACTAAAGGTGTGGTCTATCATAATTTTCTACGATAAATGTGTTTTCAATTATTATTTATTGCTAGTTTTATATATGTATATCCTATCAAAGTTAATAATTATATTTATTATAATTTATATAGAAAGAGGGAACATTTTCTTTGTCTTAGCATAAAATACGTTGTGCAACGGGCGGCCTATCCTTTTCCAGGCATTTCGAATGGAAGACCCCACCGATACAAGAATTGTGAAGAAGCTGGAACTGTATGTTAGTGGAGTAGTGTAGTGTGGACTCAGTTTCCGCACTTAGACGCCCATTGGATCCGTTGTGCGGAAATTCCTGGTAATTTGCTGCGTAATTTTAAAAAGTTTCAGTTGGGAAGTGCCCAGACCTCACTGTTCCGGCGAAATCTGTTCGTTGGGAAGCCACACCCACGCATTCCAGGACTACGTAGGTGACGTATCTCGTTCACGACGTTTCTCTGCGCGTTTCAGCGCCTCTACACAAGGGACTGTCTGTTTCGCCTAGGACAAAGAGATGTTTATTAAGTGGCACGTACTTATAAAGCGGGAAATTGATTATTGTTTCACGTGCGAAACCAAAGATGTTTTTACAATAACTAAGACAATTAACTAAGAGAAAAACTAGAGATGTAAGTTGAAGTACCTATATATTAAATGCTGTTGTTGTTAAATATATTGCTAAATTATAATCGAAGGCGTTAAAATTTAGAAATACACAGAATTAATAATACTCCAGTAAATCAATTCCGATTCGATTGTATTATTTGTGGTCTGTGGTGGTGACGAGCGGTGAGACAACTGAAATTGCAATGCCATTCCGTCTCCTATAATATTAACTGTGGTTAGATAATAGAACTAAGCGATATCTATCTAGAGCAGAGATCTGGAGTTATGTTATTATTTACTTACTATTTAACAGTTTGGTTGTATGATCTGATAGTAAATGTTATGATTATACTTTTAATTATTGATTTTACGGTATATGATGGAAAATCTTGTATATATCATATAATGTATTCCTACATCTCGTACTGTTAAGCACAGAATCAAACAAGTTTCTGTCTATGAGTCCTTTTTCATATTAATTTTTCTTAATATAATTGAAATATGATTAAAGGTAGAGTCCGAATTCCTTAACCAATTTTCCTTTGGGAGTCAAGGGCAATTTCCGCATTACGCATTGCGCTACGAAAACTGAAAAACGACAAGTAGGTACCTATAATACTCTTTAGTCGGTAATATAAAGTTTTATTTTAACATTAATACCTTACCTACCTTACTTATATATATAAACATTAAAAGTATGCAAATTGGCGTATAAATACAAATTTGGAAGTTCGTAAAAATTATAAAGGCTGTCCAAGATAATGAAATTAAATTAAACTCCATAAAAGCTAAACAGTTTTAAACCCCACTGTTAATATGCAAACAAATCGCGCTTTTAGGACGCGGTCGAAAAAAGCTACCCTGCGCATGCGTGCCTCGCTGAGTCCCGCGCGGCCGGTAGCAGTGTGTCATTTGGACCGCGTACTGTGATGTCGCGCGAATGGGCGGTACTGGCTGGGTGCGTGGTGAGGCGCGAGTGGCAGACGACTCTGATTTCCAAACCTTAAAGAACCTCCTTGCTTCTGACATCGGCTGGAATCTGGAGTATGAGAGGGACGGCGTCAAAGTATGGGCCGAAGATGCCGCCCATGGCGCGCTTCGGACCGTCAAGGTTTGTTTAATAATGTTACAAGTGTGTAACGTAAAGTGTTAAATGATAACGGTGAAAAGCTTTTAGCTTAATCAATATGTATATTGAGCTAATACTTCGATTAATCTTATTTATTCTATCTCTATCTTATATATTCTATGTAATATATTTAGCGTAAAGGGATCTTAAATTTTCAGCTATAAAAAAATATTACTTAATCATACAAGTAATATAGTAGTTAATTTCATTATGAATGTCTTGACAAATTGAACAAATCCATTTAAAGCCACGCTAAACTCCGTCTGTTTAAGGACTAAAATATTTTTGTTTTGTAGTGTATCTTCTATTAAAAATGATTTATCTGGAAAGCCACATTTGTCATATTTTAGTCATAAAAGTTCTGAACTTTAATATTCCATTTTAACTTGCTAAATTAGGCTAAGGCATTACGTGTCTAACGATGACCCAAGTATGTTGAGAGTGTCATGTGATAAGAGAAAACTAATTTTAATTCAGGGCAAATTCACTTGGTACGAGCCGACACTTAGCGGAGCCAAAATGTGAAAGTTTCCTCACGTCTCTGACTTCACCCACTTGTAATGACTCTTGTTAAAAGTAGAAACTTGAAAACTTTTGTTTTTGAGTTATCTCTTAGTACGAGTGTACATTAAGTAGGTGTAGCAGAAACTAAAGCGTCGATAAAAGATAGGCCGCGCCTCTATCACCTGAAAGAAGCTTTTTATGGCTGACACACGCAGTCGATTTTTAGCTCTAAGGCATGCTGGTTCCCTCGCGATGTTTTCCTTCACCGTAAGTATAAGTGCGCACCTAAAAAGTAACTCAGGGCCTTTGGGTTGAGAGGTGTACGTTGCAGCTACGAAGCACTCTTCCAATTTATGAAATAATCATTTTGAAATTACATTACTTTGTTCAGAAAAAGCGATATTATAAATTTACAAAGAAGAGTCTCAATACTGTTGTCCAAGAAAGTACTTTCTTTTTTAAGTTGCAATTTTAACACTAACCAAGTGTTTAATACTAAGCTCTTTTAAATTGAGCTCAGACCGAGTAATTGCTTATTCCATTTCTTAGGTAATAATTGGCACTTTGAGCAGGGTTCTAAGCGCGATAGATAATTGAACTTGTTTTTTGATAAGGCGTATTTATTCCTATTGTTCTATTAAGGCTATATATAAGGCTACAAACATAGTCTTCTAAAGAAGAGTAAAAAACGTGAAGACAAAACGTAAATAACTTTTTACTAAATATTTAATCACCCACTATAAATTTTGAAGCCAATATGTAATTACTAGGCGAAATTTAATTTAAATATTATGAAGAAAAATAGGTTCCAGAATCTAGAAGTGTTCAACCGTCGCTGTAGCTGTCTTGTTTGTTTACTTAGATCTGACGTTCTAAGAAAGGAATTAAAAAATCTATATTTTGATTTAACATTATATTAAGGATTATTAGTAACACACCATCAAAATTCTGGCTACCGCATGCGCTACTGAAGGAAATTACATTTTGTTCCTGTAATCGAAGTCGAAGTAAAAAAATGCCTATTTTATATACGAAGATGTACTCAATTACTTACACCATTCACCTAAAAGGAATATGAAATTTCATACAATATATAGTTAAGAAAATTGTCTTAACTCAGACTTCTGTCACATAAGTTTGCTTCATGTACAATTCCAGAGCTATGCTTAAATCAAACTTCGAACAAAATATCAACATCTCGTGGAATTATCTCTCATATTATGTGCAGACCACGAGTTTCTTGTCCTAACTTCCGAAATCAAACTATGCAGGGAATTCCTTTGCTGTTGCGATGTTGCCTTCAAAGCAAACGTATTTTATAACTATAATTTATTTGAGAATTCATTAAATTCTTGTTTTTGTTCTTGTGAACGTTAAGTGCGTTGAACAAAAATCAGTCAAGAAGTTACTTATAATTTAATTAAGAAATATTCAGAAACAATGATAAAAATAACGTGACGTGAACAATTTATAAAATACTGTATCTGATATTATATTGAGTTTTTGTTATCAATATAAACGTAATATGCCTATCTAGTTATATTAATCAAAGTAATATTGTGATTGGCATCCCAGCACTTTTCATCGCCAATATAGAAGACCGTCGATATTAAACATGAAAATAGTCCCTTTACTTCAACACAATCTTCACACGTATCACAAATGAAATCGACCACTGAATATTAAGGGAAAATTTGACTCCATAATTCTACTTTATGACAACATTTCCGGAGGGTTAACTTACATGCCTAAATTAGTGTTTATTATACTTAACTAATAAAAGAAAAAACTTTTTTTTCTAGCTTAGTAGTTAGGGCTTGTTTTGGGAATAAAGCGCCATAGTTAGAAAACAGTATAAACATGCAAAAAATTATTAAAAAAGGTCTTATTAAATTATATATTACTTGTATATGAATATGATAACTTTAATTTGAAAATAGAAGACTCATGAATAGGAATGGAATTTTGTACATCACCTAGTAAATTAAAACCTTTTTCTTTTAAATATTTTTTTTTAATAATAACTGATGATGTTATATGCAATAGCGAAAATAATTTCGAAGCAGCCGTACTTTGCTGTACAATTCTTGTCTTACCGACGAAGCGTAATTAAATACGAACTGTTGAATATTCATAAAGTTTGTATTTGACGAGTTTCTAGGAAAATGCACTTGATTTTAACGCAAATGTATGAGAATTAAATTTTCACTGCTCTCGCTAAACGTGCATCTGCATTTTGTATTCTAATCACATTTGATTTTCAGTTTTACCTTTCTTGAAAACTCAAAATAATATTTATTAAAATAATGTTTATGTTTAAAACTGAACATGGTATAAATGCCTCACACATGTACTACATTAATTTTTTAAGGCCTGCTGTAAACAAATCAAAACATCAAATCGTATTACATCCGTTAAAGAAGTAATATCTCTTTAATTTATTATTCTAATATAATAAACACAAAAATGAGACTGTGGTGTTGTCAAAGGTGGCGTTTTTGGTCCCTTTATTAATGCAAAACATAATAATTAGTAAAAAGATACAAGAGAAAACAAATATTTTACTCGAATTAAGTTAGGTGCCAAATGTTCAAATAAATGAAACACTGTGTTCGAAGCTAAGTGTTAACTATCTTTAATGGTTCTGAACAAAGCTTATAACTAACAAAATTAGGGATTGCGACGCTCGACTAACAAAACTGTAACTTAAGTTATTTATCGTAAACTAACTGATGTTAGGTTATATAACTTAAGGCACTTAATGGTCGGTAAATGGTCATAGTCTATATATAATACTATATTGACGAGTAGACCACTAAGTGGGTTTGAAGACCAGATTAACAGTCAAAAGCTGTTTTAGAATAGAATCAAATCTCAGTCAATGAATCTGAAATTTTGAAACAATATATCTTAAATTACAATGTTCATCCATAAAATCTACCTTCGTGTCATTAATTTAGTTTACTTAGCTTATAAATTTATAGACTGTACCACTAAACGAAGTACATTACACCACATTTAAATTTGTCCATTTAGGTACTAAATTAGCAGCTCACACCGGCTTCGCAACGAGTGCAATATTTCAGCTTCCAGCCAGCATGCCAAGATAAAACTTGCGCCATTTTTTAAATTAATTCAAATTATTAGTCTTTTATTTAACCTTTTTTATTTCATATATACTTGAAATATTGTTAATCTTCAGACGGTTCAATTATAATTTTTTACTTTACTTTAATTAATTCTAATAGGCATACGTATGTATACATCCTAATTCACAAATATTTTACATGATTTCTCTTGGTTTATCAGTTTCCAGTAGTGTGGATTATGTCGATGCTATTGTTTGTAATGAGGAGATGTTCTTGAGTATTGTATTTTTACGACCTCAACCCCTCAACCCTATTTATTGAAAAATATCCGCAGCTGTTTCAGTTTATTTTCACAAAGTTGTTGTTGTTATTATTATTAATAGTTCATTTAATATTAGACATTGGTAAAAATAATTATATGAGGCTAGCTTTTGAATAAATATTGAAATACCACGTCTTGATTTAATGTAGAAAATGGTGCATAACTTAGATAATAAACCCTAATTTAAAAATATATAGTACTTTTGAAATTATTTAAAATGTCATCGAAGGCTGTGTCAATAATTTTATCCCATAATGTAATAGCCACTATTCGAGGTCGCATCCGTTGGGACCGAGGCAAAGATTGCTTTTAAAAGAAGCTGAATCAATTTTTCCCGGCCATCAATCGTAGGGCTACCACTTCTAAGTTATAAGGGAAATTAATGATTCAAGAACATTCTAAGTGATTCAATGTCTGAAGTGGTTACCCAAAAAATCTTATAAATTATGTATAATTGCGCCGCGTGCATTCATTAACACGGCGAAACTTTTGGTTTTTGTAGAATCTCCATCTCATTATTTTTATTTACGATCTCAAAAATCATATTATTTTTCAACCTGAAAGCTCGAGAAAATATTTAGTTAAATTAACTAAATTAAGTATGAAGTTGGTGATACTGTTCTTTAAAGGCCAGTTCTTTTGTTATGGATTGTTAATTTCCATATTCTACCTTTGCATTGGTAGCCCTAAGTGAGTCAACATTTTCTCTGCGGTAGAAATCAAGAAAAGATTTCCCAATAACTTGGCAGACTATTGTAGCGTTTGCCGTTATTAAATTATAGTCTTATTTTTGATGTGAATAGTAAAAAGTGCACCGTTACCCATACATGATACGACATAAAGCTTTACTTCGTAGTATAGAATTAAATTTCATACTGTGCTTCGGTATGTATTAATTATATGCTTGGTTTACCACAGAACATACCTAAGTTGCTAGTTTAGACGTTTACAATTGAATTACCACAGATGAAATCATACTCAACAATAAGTTATTCTATTATTTTAACTGTGTCATATAATTAGTTCAAGATAAACGAATAGCTATAAATCCATATAATACACTGTTATATTGGATAAAATCCAAAAACTCAGAAGCCTCAAGTAATACAGCCTTTTATAAGCTCGTGTCGTGTCAATGAACTCACGATTCACTATTCTTTTGTTCATTTAACTGAACACTTTCTGGAATTAATGATGTAATCTGGTTGTATCAAATTGCGACTAGAAGAATTTTTTACTTAATTATTTTCTACAATTTCAAGCTCTAAATAAATGAGTGTTAAGTATCGGCAAATATTTTTCTTCTTTAAGTGCTGCTTCTACTGGTTTAGTGTTAACAATAAATATTGTTTGGTATTTAGATACCCATCTAGTACTAGATGAGTATGCGTCTACTCTCAAACTATTTTTTTCCTTCTACTAAAATGTCTTTTGTCTCCATACACTAGGCCATATACCATTTATTAAACTTTATTATACTTACGATTGAAGGATTATTAGGTGAGTTACTATTCGTATTGTACATAAAAATTATATATATAAATATATATGATTTTTATTCTACAATAAAAGTTTTACAAATAGAGGAGCTAAGTAACTGTTGAAGAGAACAAATAAAGTAAGAAAAGGTAAAACAAACACAAGACGGTTTAATTCCTTTATCAGCGGTATTGTCTTTTGCTCTAAAAATGGATAGAACTGGAAAATAATAATACAGTTAAATATACTTAATATGTTCTAGTAACCATAAATTGTATTATGTCATCTGACAAACTTAGAAAGCTTTGTAACAAGAACTCGTAGACGTGACGCTACGTTGCGACGTAGCATTGTAGCTTTGTTTAGGAACACACCTACTCGCCAGGGAAATAGTCCAGAAATGAGTTTCCAGCTTTTTGTGATAATGTTACAAACACAGTTTTCTTGCAACTCTGTTCCTTTTCTGCTTTTTAATATTGAAATTTAATTTGAAATGGGGTTTTAGTTCCCTTATATATTATCTTTAAACTGCTAATACACGAATATACTCTATGTATATTTAATATTTATGAATAATGTGTCAATGTAGTAATATAGAAATAAATTAAAAAAAATACTGTATTCCAGTTGAAAGTACCTACTGCCAACCATTAGATTGGTATACAAATAAAGCTCGTACAAATTTATATTTATTTTATGTAAAAAGTCTTAAAAAAATAAAACGTTTATACCTAAGGGATGTGAGAAATTATAAAATATTCAGTAGTATTGCATTAAGGATTTTTCTCCTCGGTTTCATTGGGGGAAATCGGTTTGAAGATATCTTTTATTTATTACCGTGTACAGATCTTTTTACTGATATTTTACGAAGAATATACCCAAATATTTTTTATTAAGAAAAATTAGAACTCAATAGGCATCAGTTGTAGTAATTTCTCAGTAGCAAATATTTTCTAAGATTAATAATGATCATTATTATTATAAGCATCGCGATCAGCAAACCACCTCTGGCGATTTGGCAAGAATAAAATAAGCAAGAAAACTTTCTCTTTTAAAACTGTACACTATTAACATGCAATCTAAAATAGATTATATATATAATATATATGTATGTATGGGAAAAACCTTTTATATTTCAATTTATACAGTACTCTATTCCTTCGAGGCTTCATTCGAAGTCTCAACATGCGAAAACTCAATAATTTTAAAACTAATTAAAAATTTTATCTAAGAATATACAGACAAATAAATCATGTGAAAAAATTATAAACTTTTCACGTCACGCCATGTGAGGAAGTGGGAAAGTTTTAATGATGTCTAAACACAGGTCGATAGTGGAGAGGGTTTTACCGCAATTTGTAAGCTATTTCCCTCTTCTACATATATCGATACCGTATATATGCTATTTCCCTCTTCTAGTTATATCGTATATAAATGTCGTTTCAACGTTAGCCCCTATCTACAACATAATTAAGGTCGGTCTTTTTATTTATTAATTATTTCAGGTGGTTGCGGATTTCGAAGACGTGGAACCGGATGCACTTTATGACGTGCTCCATGACCCAGAGTACCGGTCAGTGTGGGACACGCATATGTTGGCGGCCGAAGACGCCGGCCACATCAATGTTAACAACGATGTTGGGTACTATGCCAGTGAGTAACAAGAATTGTATACCGAAAATTTTCCTAATTTTTAATTGTTGTATTTATATAGAGCGTGTGAGCGTTTCATCAATTGTTACCATTATTGTTTGTTCTCTATTGAGAGTACCTTTAACTTCACTACATTTTATTTGTCTATCCACAGGAATTTGACCTCAAAACTCTGTTTTCTTAGATATAGATAGAGACAAAATATAGTGCACAACGGGGACACGGAACTACGATGGGTTATACTAGACATTGCTGTTACTGTCATTATTAATTATGTTTTTCTCAATATCCGCGGGGCGGAATGAACATAGAATATGGAAATGGACGTGAAAACCTATATTATGTTGCATCGCTATTATGATAACAAATATATATTACTATAATATATTAGACACCGACACTAAATATGTACTAACGTAAAATGTACTTGTATTTTTTTAGAAAATGACAATTAACTATTTTAAATCTGGATAATGTTTTACATCTTAAAACATGATTATAATCAGTCGTTTCCGCTTTGTTTTTATTTATTTAATAAAACATTTTATGAGGTAATTTGACGTAGCTATGAGGTGTCAGATTACAATTCATATTCTGTGGTAAAAAGTGAGTTTATAGGCAATTTTATTTAACGAAGTTTTAAGGGTGGGATCAGTTCTATCTCGAAGGAGGGTGAGGTTATTGTCCCCTGAGCATACTAGAGTGCTGGATGAGGGGAAAGGGTGCAATTTTGTATGCGGCTTTGTCAATCCCCCTTAGTTCTACAGCTAATATCAGCCTTTTAAGCATCTATTCACAGGAACGCTATGTTTTCAAGTATTCTTAAAAAGGTAGATGTTCAGGCATGGACAATATATTAATTTTGTAAAATCAGATTTTCTTAATTTTAGATTCAATCATATTCTTTCGCCTCTAGGGAGTCAGCCAAAATACGCACTATAACGTAAAAACACATCAGTTCAGACCTAAATAGAAGCAACCTCATGCTTGCACAAACTCTATCACCAAATTCAGAAAATATTTTAGGATAATCTATAAACACTGTTATAATTGTAATTGTATACGTTTCAATTACAATGTTCCAATTTATGCGTATTATAAAAGTGGGTTGTTTAACTTTCTATGTTTCATACAGATATTAGGGCATAATATGTATAAAATTACAAAATATAAACGTTTTAAGTTCATTGTATGCAAATTATCTACACATCAAAAGGTAAGCCAAGAGAAACCATCAGATAACAATATGAGTTAGTCTCGAAGCGCGGCTAAACGCAGATGACAATGCAAATAGCCAACGTTGGCATGAATGTAAATAAGCGACGTGCAGGCATGAAAAGCATCAAGGCATGAATACCACTGCAGGTATGAAACGTGATAGCGTTGTGATTCAGGAATGCGAGTTACAGAGTCGAACTGAGAGACACATTTAAGTTCATGATCATGTAATTTGCTTTATCCTAAACAATTTTTTTGGTTTAAAAAAAAAAGAGGATTTGGATACACGCATGTAATCAAAATGCAGATAATATTCTGATTAGCGAACTATTACTTAATATTTTATTTTTTACACTAGTTTACATGAAATTAATTATATTTAATGTTTAAAAAAACCTGTAGAAAATTTACAGGGAATTTAATTCAGTTTAACATATTATTTTTTTCCACGATTAAAATGGCCACGCACATATATTTTATAATTTTGAATTCAAATCTTTATATTTAACTAATGATGGCTTGTCTTGCTGTTCCTTTAAGTGCATACAATATATTGTATAAATATAGACGCAACATTTCACGATGTCTCAGTAAAGGGATAATGTATTGAAACAAATATATAAGAAAGATACTTAGCAATTAGTAGAAACACAGAACTTATATCAGTTTTGAGAGGATTTGAGATGAGAATTAAAATAAGTAGAATCTTGCATTATTCAAAACTAAAAGGGCTTTCAAATGAGAGTGAAAAGTAATGCACCTAGATTCATAAATATTAATTACTCTAGATAGTGAATGCGACCCTGTTGCAATGCGGGCTTCCGAGTTTTATGCGAAATACAGCTGGTGTGCTTGACAGAAAAAAAGATCTTTTTTTTAATATATATTCATATATTTTTCAAAAATGGCGTGTTTGGTACGTACGTACTTAGGGATAGTGTTAATGTTTACTGGAATAGCGAGCCCTTTAGATGTCTATGTAGGAACAAGTGGTTGTATGTACTGAAATATATCGAAGTTGTTAGAGACTGTCAATTTAATAACCTAGCTTTAATCTTATAATTGCTTACTAACACCGCCATAGAAGGCTGAGTTTTTGACGTTTAAAAAACTTCAAAACGTTAACCGCAACACGGAAGAGTGACCCGGAACAAAAGACTGGTTGAATTCAGTACAGCTGCCAATAATTCCAACCCAAATCATACGACCGAATAAAAATTGTACACAATTTATAGTACCTATCAGATATTTGAAATTATTCTTATATTAACAAGTTGATAGACGAAAATAAATATAAAAAATGATGCTTATTTTTGTATTTGATAATATCTTTTTTCGAATCAAGCAAATAATCACTGCAAATAAATTGTATAAAACAATTTCGTATTACATCTTCATAGAGTGACACACTCCTTTGACATTATGAGAGATCCTTTTGACATTATGAGTGTCCAGGAGTGGTGGTTTCACTTAACATCGTATGAGTCCTTAGCCATTTTTCCCCTATCCTTAAAAATTAATAAAGTGTATATACTGTAATGCCTTTTTTACCTCCCTGGTAAGGAAAACTTCAATTCAGCAGTAGCAATACCTATAAAATGTGTATTCAAAACCAATCCTCTGATCCAATCAATCACTCGGCTGTAAGCAATATACAGGTCAGGGATTCACTTTATTCCCAAATTACATCAGCCTTTGATGTAATTTGAGAATAAACTTTATGTATATGTATTAACCCCGTTTATCGCAATTTCATATTTTTTATATTACAAACTTAAATTTGAAATCAAGAATAGGAATTTTGGGATAGTAAATTTTACTTAAAATCAATATTGGAGAAACTTAGAAACCTGTTTGAATCTTTTGTATGTCTTACAAAATATAACGTTTAAATTAAAATACTCATTATTTTCTTGCTGACAATTAACGATAGCAAGAAGAGCGGAATTAACATTTAAAAAGGGTACTAATTCCAAAAACCCAGTGTATAGGAATTATAATATACTAGATGCCAACTGAGATAACGTTTATTTATTTATTCACAAAAGTACATACCATACAGCACCAAGCCAATACGATAATGTCGATAAAAGAATATAATGAAATATACAATATTAAATCCCTAATATACACAATCACTTGTGTGTATTGTGTAAAATAAACAAAAGTATCCGAAAGTTGAATTATATTCTACATAACTAATATTGTGTTGTGAATTCCTCGCAATATTTATAATATAAGTATTCATGAGTCCACATTATACAATGGTTATGAATAATAAAATATCAGTGGTTATTTCAAGAGATTATTATACAATAGATGCTTTCGATAATTACATTTCCAATTATGTGGTTTGACCTATTTAACGTGGAACGCGAAGTGATTTAATATTCATTTTAGGGTAGTAAAATTATTTCTTGATTACTCAAATTATTTAAACTTAATTTTTTTATAAGCACAGTATATCAGTACTTAGGAGCACATACGTTTTAATATGTTCTATGCAAACGAACCGAAGATTTATTTATTTATTTATTTTGTAAACCTATAGCTAACATAAATTATATACAATAACAAACAGTTACATTAAAAATATAGCCAAATATGGAAAACATAATAATACATTTAACTACAAAATGGTTCAAGAATTTATAAAAGGAAACAAACAAATAAAAACTATTCAATACGTTTATCTAAGTGGTACCTAATTTGGTTGTGTTGTATGATGGTGTAAAAGTGAGGGTAAGTACGTGAAGGTGTGTATGTGGGGTATGCTCATGATGCATGTGATTTTGCGCTATGGATATTCTTAATACTTCTTTTAATCATATTCCGCGACAGCTTAAACAGGTCAAGGCTTAAATATTGGTCGTTGTATGTCCGGGCTGCGCGATACAAAACTGAGTTCCTTGCATAGTTAGTGTTAATGTGAGGAACATGGAACAAAGCACGATTACGAGTCTGGTAGGCAGGAACAAGGAAGGGCAATTTTTCTAGAAGGGAGCTACAATTAATTTTATTTGAGATGATGTCATGTAGTAGCAATAAATCATATTGTTTTCGTCGAGAGTCTAAAGTATTAATTTTAAAATGTTCACACGCGTCATTATATGTATTAAACTTATTGTAGGTCTTATAGGAGATAAATTTTATGAAGTCTTTTTGGATCTTTTCAATTTTTTCTTTGTGTACAGTGTAACTAGGTGACCAAACCGAGCAACCATATTCGAGAATACTTCTTACGTATGTATAGTGTAGCACTTTCATACAGTCGACATCATGAAAATGTTCACTAACACGTCTTACAAAACCAAGCTGCTTATAGGCCTTGTCAACTATTGTGTCAATATGGTTATTATACGTCATCTTATAGTCTAACCATATACCTAAGTCACGAACACAATCTACTTCTTTTACAGATTTGTTATTAATATGATAGCTAAAGTTAATTTTGTTTTTTTTTCTGGTGAATGTTATTTTGACACATTTAGAAGTATTAACCGATATTCGATTTTGTCTATAATAATTGGAAAGGTTATTTAGGTCGGCCTGAATTTTGTGACAGTCTCCTTCTTTGTTTATTTTTAAATATATCTTTTTATCATCAGCGAACATAAGGTAATTTGAATCTTTAATGGTACTATTTATGTCATAAAGATATGCATTGTATAACAGGGGACCCAATATAGATCCTTGAGGAACTCCAGAACTTATACGAACAAAGTCACTTCTAGCACTGCCAACCGCAACCGCCTGTCTACGATTTGTTATATATGAACAAAACCAGCGATGAAGGTCACCACGTATCCCTAGAAGTTGGAGCTTATGTAATAGGATGGTGTGATCCACTCTGTCGAAAGCCTTCTCAAAGTCTGTGTAAATTACATCAACCTGTGCACCACCATCCATACTTTGCAGTACATAGATCGTAAACACGGTTAAGTTGGTTATCGTAGAACGTTTATTGATAAAACCATGCTGTTCATCGGGAAGTGAATTACTTATTATATTGTGGATGGCTTTATAAATTATCTTTTCAAAGACTTTACTGAAAGTATTAAGTATCGATATTGGTCGATAATTTTCAATACTCAACCGCGAGCCACTCTTATGAATAGGTATTATTTTAGCTATCTTCCATACATCAGGATAAATGCCAAATGTGTTCACGGATAAGTTCTGTATTATGTACAGTGGTTCTGTAATAGCTTGAGCACATTTTTTGATAAAAATAGGTGGTATACCGTCATACCCAGCTCCTTTTTCCGCATTTAATGAATTTAGTATCTTTAATATATCAAATTTGGTTATATTTAGTTTACATATAATGTTGTCGGTTACTTCCGTATTAGTCTGCAGAATTTCATGGTATGAAGGTGCTGCTTGTTGAAATACGCTCTCAAAGAAAGTACTGAATCCCGTGCATGCTTCCGATTCGTTATTATATATATTGCTTCCTAATTGTAATCTATTTGGATAGCCAGTGTTATTAATTCGTAAGGTTTTTAGATATGACCAGATTTTCTTTGGATCTTTCTTTAACGATGTTTGTATTTTTTGCATATATAACTTAAAACATTTTTTTTGGACTGCCTTCTGTCTTAAACGAAGTAAGGAAAACTCATCGTCATCTCGTGGGTTTCCTCTTGCTTTCAGATTAGCGCAAACATGTATTCTCGAATGATAGGTATAAAACATTGAAAAATTTGCTAAGGTGTATTTGTAAGTGTAACGGATAATAATTTATTATAAATATTTTATTTATAAGGCAGTTAGATTGTCTAATTGTACTTTATTCCTATTTTAAAGTTAACAAACTGACAAGTCTTTAGAATAGAAAACATTTTTGTATATTCATTTATTTCTTATTTAAGTCAAAAATAATAAATATAAACACAACTTTATACGTAAATAACAGAAACATTTGAAACAGAACATAAGGGTTCTAGTTCAGAATTCAATTTGATGATGAACATTTCCCTTCAGTGTCTTGTCCAGCGCCGCTCAAGAACCGTGACTTCGTGCTGCAGCGCTCCTGGCTTGACACGGGTGACGAGAAGATGATCCTTAACCATTCTGTGTACCACAAGGACTATCCACCAAGAAAAGGATTTGTTAGGTGAGCAAGTCTATTACTCTCTTTCACTCTACTTTGGTTAAAAGATTTGCTTAAATATTTACTTATTCCCAATCAAAGTCTAGATATCAGTTAAAATATGATTAGATTTTACTTGGACACACTCGACTGAGCAATCAGCTCAGTTCTGACTGATTGTGAGTATTGACAATTAAAGTAAAGTAATGAAACTGAACTGTCCACTGAAGTATGTCCGAACCAATTCGACTTAGGGTACTTCAAAAAAAGAGCGTACCAATTCTTAAAAGGCAGAGTGCTTGCGGGGCTTCTGGCGGTGTGAGTATCCATGGGCGCCGGTATCACTTAACATCAGATGAGCCTCATGCCCGTTTGCTTTCTACAACGTCAAAAAAAATGAGTTACGACATTATTACATATTGCAGCATAGTAGCATTAATAATAATTAAGTAGCATTATTTTACTTTCTAGTATTAATTATTTTTACTTTATTGCACTACAATATTATATTATTAAAAAAAGTCTAGAAAAAATCTCTCAAAATCTTTTTAAGCTAAAGCAAGATACCATTTTTTTTACAAATACCAATTAAAAGTTGTATAAACTTTTGGTAGTATATAATAATAACAGTTATAATATGTTTTTTTAATATCGTATAATTGCATATTATATATAAAAAAATAAAACTTCCAATAGTAAACATGCCTTAGGGCACTATATTTAATAGTTTGTTAGATAATACAAAAAAGCGTGGCAAATTCGATCGCATCTCATTATGCCACTCTAGATAAGATATGCCTCAATCCGTATCGGCCTTGGTGAATGTACTAGAGTTCATGACATTGGCATTGTAATTGTTTAGATTCGTTTTCCTTCTGTGAATCTCATTACTACGTGCCAAGTTAATATACCTGATGATTCAATTCATCTTTTAATATACAGTAATTTTACTGCACTTATTCCAATGCTAGATCCTGAACGTGGTGTTCGCGAGTTATAAGTAACTTTTTCTACTCTTCTCCAGGAAGGACGAGTGTGATTTAATTTAAGATTTTGAGAAATACACCTATGCTTATGAACTTACATAATATCTACGTATAGTCAAGTATTATTAAAGGGGGAGGAGGAAAATTTACACAAATAGCGCGATATTGTTGTTAGAATTACCAGGAAAGGTGAACCCGATAGACTGATATTGACTACACATGGTTAAATGTGCTTAGTTAAAATATGTAAGTAAATGATATATCAATCAAGCACAAGACAGCGTAATTAAACAAGTGCAGTCAAGCATAAACCTAAAGATGTTGAAGTAAAAATGCCATTTAGTATAAAAGTTTGAAAACATTTAGAAATAAAATTTAGTCAGTTTCGTTACTTGGGATAAAAGCTGGCTTAAATATTAATTTTCTCTGACACAGGCTTAACTTTTTATTAAAAAAGTTTCACAAACTAGGTTTAGCAAAACTTTTCAATTTATGCAGACTAAGCATTTTTAAGTGTATACAAAATATTACAACATCAATTATTGACGACTTCTTTAATCTTTTACGTGACATGAACATTATATAAAACTATAAATTGTAATGGACAGTACTTTATGGAGATTAAGGTAATAAAATGAAACAGTACAAATTGTAGTTGGTTAATTAGCTATAATTATAAGTTATTGTGAAAAGGCAAGTAATATATACAATTACATTGTCAATCACTTGTTGACTTTACATTAAACATTATTTACTACGTTGACGTAGTTCAAGTTGTCTGAAAAAACGAGCCGAATATTTTTTGATGTAATTTAATAGTAAAAAACATCTTGTGTTAAAAGATGAAATATAATGAGTAAATTTATGTTATGGTATAAATTATTTTATCTATATATTATAACATTTATTACTTACAAAACACAAACACAGAAACACACAAAGTAACAATAACCAAAAGAATATAACAAGGTACGTTTTAAGTGTATAATGCATGTGTGCTGTGGTTGTAATTGGCCCTGGCTCAGCATTATGCTGAGGAACAGAATGTTCCACAGCGCTGGTGAATATGATATTAACACACTCTTTATTTAAATCAACATTCGATTTTACAAATACTTTATACTTTAAAAAGCCATCTGTTTTGTGATCAATGTATGAATCTGACACACGCCATCGACTTTTTTGGATCTAACCATGCCTTATGCGTGGTTTTCTCACGATGTTTTCTTTCACCGTAAGAGCGAGTGTTGAATACGTACATATACAGAGCAGCCCATTGTGGCACATACGGGGTGCGAACCTTATGTATGAGAGTCACACGCTCAAGCCACTAGGGCAACAATAGCTCATAATACATAATTTTATAAGTTAAATTCCAGGGCCCTATCGTTGCTGACCGGGTTCGTGGTTCGTTCGCGGCCAGTCGGTCCGGGTAGTTGGCTCGGCTATGTGTCTCGGTCTGACCCGAGAGGCGCGTTACCCGCTTGGCTTGTCAACAGGTAATTGTTATTGCAATGTTTCTATTACTTACTGTACTTATGTAGAACTGTTCAAACACTGACTGGTATCATCAAGCCGAGATTATCATGATGGCTTTAAAAGAGCTGTAGTTGTAGTCTTAGTTATTCATGGAAATGATATGGTTCTAGAAAATAAGCAGAATTCAAATTCTTAATATTTCTTCTTCAGACAAAAATATTTCTTACTGATATTAACAAATTACAAAATAATCCAGCCAGAGATTTAATAATAATATATTAGTGAGTTTATAAGTAGTTGATCTACTTAATAAGATAATAAATAAATATTGTCTTCTTCAGGGTAACAGCACAGCTCGCTCCAAGATTAGTTCATCAATTACAAGCAGCTGCCCGTCGCTACCCCGGGTGGAAGGCACTAACTGATCACCCTTACCACAAGCCCTGGAGACACCCTGAACAGGTCCCGTCATATAGAATTAAACTTGAAGATGTAAGTGCTTTGACGATATTAGCAATAGTAGTTATTCCAAGCTGTTCTTATATGCTTAATGCATATTGCATAAGCCACTTCACTGGTGGCACGCACTTATAATAATAATTTATTTATTAAAGATTATATCCATATTTAGTTAGTAACAATTTGGTCTTAGTTGCTAGGGTTGGTGAACAAAAAGAAACAAAAAATCTCCTATGGTGCAGTATGGACAACATACTGGACCAACGTTTTAAGATATGTGCGTTTTTTGTAATACTCTATTTACTTGATTCGTTAGTATACAAAAAATTTGGAAAAACTATCTCCTTATTTCTTTTTAAATATAAAATTAAAATTAAAATTGGGAGAAATGTTTCTTCTATATTGTGAGGCGTAAGAATTGTCATACTTGCAAACTTAGAATCATTAAAAAAGTAAATATATAGGTACGTTTTATATTTAAAGGAGAAGTTTCCAAAGAATTACTAGTGCCCGAGCGAGTTATAAAACAAAAGCTGTTTACGAGTCCCGGTAACACTAACTTTACAAAAGTTAGTAATGTCTTCTAAAGTAATCGTTTTTCGGAAATAAACCTTTATTGGTTTATTTCCTTCCCTTTGAGAAGTTCCTTGTATCAGTACCGCAGTTTGCAGTTTTACGAAGTATCTCATTTATAGAATCGGCTTTCCAAGAGGAATCCATAAATTTTTTGTACGCTTCGATTGTAGTCGACATTTCAAGAGATCTTTAGCTATCGAAAAGTTTGGAGGCTTTTGAAAGGGTTCCCTTTGATGTTTGCTTTTGATAAAATAAACAGCATTTGAATTGAGATAGTTATCTATAAATGGTTTGTAAACAATTTACATCGCCTTTTAGTTATAAATTTATATTTTACTTTTTGTGTTCTGTGGTTTGACCCGAATTAATTCGGTGGTAGCTTGATGTCTAAAGTTTTTCTCGGTAAGGTCTTAAATGCAAACAATTTTTTTTTGTTAGACATATGGTATCGCGGACTTTTTTCTAGATATTGATGTCTTCTACTTCGTATAGTACATAACTTTGCTCCATTGTCAATAGTTACCGTAGCGTACGCAATTTAGGAATTTTTATTGGCCTTTTTCACACCTTGCGTTACACTATCGTCCGTTCATACAGAACCTTAACTTTTAAAAATTCAATGGCCTATGTTCATCAGTGATAACGTAGGGTTTTTATGGTGGAATAATTTTTAAATTAGCTATGTAGTTTTGGAGTCTATTCAATGCAAAAATACAAATATACACTGCCAAGGATACGGTATCATAACATAAAATTTAAAAATAAATTTTTCTTTTTTGTATAAATATGTAAACTGTGAAGTATTATATTATAAACTTTATATGTGTAATGTGTATGTATGTGACAGGTTTTCATAAATACTATCTTATATATATAATATAGAGATAGCAGCTTACAACTTCTATTATGTGTGTACTAATAATAAACCCTTATGTTACGATAGATTCAAGAAAATTCACTCTCCAATTGTGAAGATGAGAACTTTTATTCAATACGAGTATCTGCCAGATATAAACTAGCTGACAGATTATAATAATTAATTATTATTTGACTATTTTCAGTGCATTGACCCGGATGCTCCGCCTCCGCCAGCTCCTCAGCAGGAACCAAAACCAAATACATCCAAGAAACTCTCGTTACCACAAGTACAAGTCAAGGAAGTAGAGAGCCAGAGCGTTGAAGACTTGGGAGACATATCATCAGAGTTCAGCGTAGAAGTTGAAGAACTTTCCGACCTTAACATAGACCCTACGAAGAAAAAAGGAAAATTCTATAGACTAGTCAAATCAATGAAGAATAGACGGAAAAGCGTTCAAGTAACAAAGAGCACGGATAATCTAGTTGATGGGAAACCGGAGGAAAAGCAAGAAAAGAAAAAGCCTTTTAAGTTTCATCGTAGGTTCAGTTTAAGTAGGGGTCGGGAAGATTGATATTGTTTGTTAAGAGTCAAGTAATAAATAATGGTACGACTTCTAAGTAAGGAAATGTTTCGGTTGTGTATTGAGCTCGTGGTTTTATGCGGATACTCATATAAAGAATGTATATGTAATGAAGTGGTACAGTTATGTATCTCGTAGCGGAAGCGTAGCATTTAGGTTCCCGGTATTGCTACGAACTACGGGAACGTAGAGGGCACATGATGGGTATATTTGTGTTTTGTTTATTTTACATAATGAATATGAGAATTAATATAGAGTTTCCGTATTCTTATATCATAAACAATTTTTTTAGCTTGATTTTTTGTATCCCATTAAAAAATGTTTAAATTTATTATTTTCCACGTCATTACATAAACTTGTTCATGAGTACCGAATATTAGATTTGCTACCATTTACTGTGATTGTATATGTTAAAGGAATATTTAAGGGAATTGTTCGTTGTAGCCAGTTTTATACGCCCTACTTGATGTTGATGTAGTGATGTTGATTGGATATATTATTAAAAGTTATATAATGAATTTTATACAAAGTTTCTCATGTATTCTTCTGAAAGGATGTCTTAACATTGTGAACTGAGTATTTAATGCATTAAAGTTATATTAAATACTAACTTCATCTTAAGCAGATTTTCTTGCTTGCCTACTTTTAATTTATGATTTATCACTTAGCGTCTAAACATTTTGTATTTTAACACACTTATTAGTACAATCCTCCATCTTTGTAGAGTTATACAAGTACTGAGCCGTGGTTAGCCAAAACTACCCCATCTTAACTCTATGTCTAGCAACATATCTATATTATTATGATTAAGCTTAGTGAATTTTCTGTAATGCGGATATCAAGGGAAGTGTAGGGCGATACTCATTATTGCAAAAAGGCCAATGAACTTGTGGTTTCTTTTGTTTGTTTTAATATAAACATACCATTCCTAGGAATTAGGTAGATACCTATACTGATATTTCCCTACTGTTTACCGTGTCATCATCATAAGTATCATCTTGAAACCAAAAGTTTCAAATTTGTTCCAATGTTACAAGTCTGCGCATCATTTACTGTATTGCTCGACATAGGCCTCGATATCTATGTACAAAGATTGTGAGTATGTTATTTATAATAGTATATAAATTAAAAGTTACGTAAAATGTAACTTTACGTGTGTATTATTGGAAAATTATATCAAATTCATAAGCCCAGTTTGTACAACAAATGTGTAAGTTGATGTAGCCTAAATGTATAAAGGCTTTTGTAAGGAGCTATATAAAGTTCTATTGTTTTATACTAAAAACTTGACAAATAAAGGTTAAATTACGCTGCTAATTAGCTAATTGTAAATTTTCGAAAACCTTTTAAACGATGTCTATAATGTTTAGGTTCACGTGCAATTGTAGCGAGTGAAATTTTTTACATTGGACCTAAACTCTTTTTAATGAATTAAGTTAAGCTTCCACGAATTCTAAACACTTAGCCTGTTGTATAGTACAAGTCTTTTTTTGCATCATCAATATGATTTAATATATAATTTTAATATCTAATCTATAATGTAACTTCATATTATCTACATAACGTAATATATTATAGGACTGTTAAAGAAATACTAAAAATAATATATTGTTTTATTCACCACTAATTCCCACCTTATCACATCTCGAAATATACAGAACATCTAAATAAATCGTGAATAAATTGTCAAAAACGGGTTTTGCTTTACTAATTATAGGCGAAACATAAAAGAAAAATCAAATTCAGAAATGCCACACCAAGTATAGAAAAAACATTGCATTCTTTTTTCTACAGTACTCTTTCGTATCTTTCTGTCACACTGTGTTTTAGCTGCCATATCACCGTAAATTATTTAATGCATAAATAATCAAATTAATGTATGAATCTATCAAAGTAAAAGAAAAGAGACGAACTATAAAAGTTAAAACTATAAAATAAAAAAGTGTGATAGGAATAGTACAAAATCTTACATATTTTACATATTTATTTATTTACCTAACGTATTAAAATACATTTACATAAGGTTCGATTTAAACTGTATCAAATCTCCAGGAAGTCGTGTCACGCATGACTAAATGAGTGTCGTCGTGGTCGAAGTGGTCGCGATGTGTATTTCTACCAGATATACAATTAAAGTCGCAAAAATAAAATTAAATATTTTTGATTTTAAGTTTCAAGGCGATAAAACATATTATATTTAAATTCTCAGAATTACTTGTAATAAATACGTGTATTTTGACACTTTTTCTAGCAAACCTAATTTAAAATTCTTAAGAGTAGAAAAAGCAATACTCACAAGAAAACTTTTACGTAAACAAAGGATTCTTTTTTATTTGGTCAGGCTTTAGATTATAGCGGCAATAGATTCAGATTTTTTGCTAATTGTGTACTTACTTTTTCTGATATCCTTCAAGGTCAAAACTGAGATACAGTTGTAGGTTAGCGTTTTAGAATGTTTATTTTTGTAAACAAACACAAACTAGATATCAACTATCCGCCTTGTTGTAATAGGCGATTTTAGCTTTGTACTTGATTATTTTTTAAGTGAGTGGTGGTTAAACATTCCCGACGAATATTGTAATAATAAATACTGAATTATACTATGATAAGTTAAAAAAAATTCAAGTAATGAAAATTTACTTTATATTGTTTTAAAAAATAACATTTACTTGGTGCTTCTTGTGTTTGACAGCAGTGGACAGTTTTGTAATGATGTGATAAATTACGAATTTAATAAAAAAGTTTAAGTACTTGCTCAAAATAGCTACAATGACATTCTCCTTATATATATATATTATAACTATTTCCGGTACATTAATTTATTTACTTAGTGGTTTCACTCAAAAATAATTATTTCACACGCAAAAAGTATAATTTAAACATTTCATTACAATTTACAACAATTTATCATTTAATGAGATAGGAAATTATCATGAAATGAAGAAACTCTCCACCCGAAACAATTACAGTAGTATATTTAATTACATGCTTGTATTTTCAAAACATATACTACGAAGACGTTATATAATTTACTTTATTTTTGATAGATGATTAGAAGTTTATATTTAAAAAATCTTCACTTTTTACTATAGGTTAAAACAGCATTAGCAGTACACCGTAACAAGTCGATAGCTGTGACAATTTTACTGTAATTGTTGTATGATTATACGTTATTATTGCTTTTGGTATTTTCCTTGTTTCAAGCAATAATCGATCTGAACATTAAGAGACAGTTCCCGATTCCGTATTAATTATCAATCCTTATATTTTTAACGATAAAGCCTATTTGCTTTTTTGTCGTCCATGCGTCGGGTTGTCTCTCTCCCTAAAATATGGCGAGGGGGCCGATGTCTGGCCATGCGTCATACTCGGGAACGGGTGCTACTTGTGGTGACTGGTCGTACTTGAATTACGACTATGTGTTTGCGTGTTGTTCCCACGAGAATGTAAGTGCGTGCTCGTATTTCACCATGCCTCCTGTTGACAGAGGACAAGTCTTTGTTTTTAATTTATGTTATTATTAATTACTTAAGATTTCATGTGGAACCTGGTGTAATGGTTGCAGCTCCTTACAAACGTTGTGTAAAATAAAAACATGGCGATTAAAAAGAGTGGCGGAGAGTTTATTGCCAGTTCTTCTCTTCCGTTCCACGCCCTTGATTTGAGAACTGGCACTAAATGAAAAGCTAGAAGCATTTCATATATAGTTCTTTTAATTTTGACGATCATAAGTGTACATTGTGTTACCTATTTGATTTAATTTTTTTTCTTCATAGGAATAGATAAATGAGACTGAAAGAGTTATGTTGCCTACATGTGTTTCATACACAATTGTACTTTATGAATTGTGCAAATGTGTGAAATAAAAAAATTGCAAGAGGCAAAGCGACACTAGGATGAAAGGACAGATGGTCTACAGGTCAGAAGTAGGCTACGTACGAGTGGTGGTAACAGATTAATTCTCAGCGCACAATTCAAGTTAGAATGTTTTTTTATAGATTTTTACGGAGATAGGCATTAATTTTTGTTGCTGTTTCCGAAATTGAGAGTACTGATTATGTTTGCAATATACGATAAAAAATTGAGTAAAATTTCAAATTTATAATGAGCAAATTTTGCTGCAAAAACTACCTAGTTTTTAATCCTAATTTTTAATGTGACAATCAGCGCATTATTTAAGATTAAGTGTGTAATTATCATAATCTACACGCGTTATATAAAATAAAGTATATGATATCTAATTATGTAATCCGACTTACATTAGACGGCTTTTTCTTCGGGAGTGTTTACGTGAACTGTCAAATCTTTTATTGTTAATAACAAATGTTTTGGATTGTATAAAAGCTAACGTAAGTAAAACACGATATCTCCTTCAACAGGGACAAGAAATAATGAATAAATAATAACCACAGATTACAATCAAATGAACAGATTTATTTATGGCGGATGAAGCCAAAAACAGGTGTAACCTGTTTTACACTGCTAACACTTAAATCTATATTGTATTCAATTGCGTAACGTTGTATAGCCAGAAATTATTAGGTAGATCATGCGACCTTTAGAAAAAGAAGTGCTCTCAATCGGATATTTCGGAGTCATAATTAACAGTACGTTAATTTTTAAACGTCAATCAACTCATTCATGAAACATTAAATAATTTATTATCTAAGCGTCACCAAAGATATGATTTTTCACTGTAAAACTTCGTGCATTTCCTTCTCTTCATATACCCCATATTCATTAAGTAAGAAGTATAATGTGAATTTTAATCAATTCGTAGTTTCACCTGAAGTTAAAGCCTAATTATTTTCCATCACAAAGGCCTACTAATAATTGGTAATAGTATAAATGAACCAACGGATGTTTGAACGAAAGGTCTTGTCGAGTTATTAATACATTTGGTAATGAATTCGGAGGCACTATTTTGCATAATAACTCCGAAAAGTATGTTAAAGTGATAGTACCGTATTTTCTCAACATTGTAACTTGTT